CTAGCCTGCTCCCTAAAATATCACTGGTTTGTTCATTTCTATGTAAGGGTGCCTACATTCTGCACGGACTGGTTGCATGGTAACTTGTGCAAATGGCTTTAGATACCTATTAGGTCCATAAATTACCAGATAGCATACAGTGGTACCTCGGGTTACATACACTTCAGGTTACATACGCTTCAGGTTACAGACTCCGCTAACCCAGAAATAGTACCTCGGGTTAAGAACTTTGCTTTAGGATGAGAACAGAAACCGTGCAGCGGCAGCGGGAGGCCCCATTAGCTAAAGTGGTGCTTCAGGTTAAGAACTGTTTCAGGTTAAGAACAGACCTCCAGAATAAATTAAGTACGTAACCAGAGATACCACCATTTGTTGTTGACAAAGGGCAGCTGGGCATATAAAGTGCCCCATTCCCTTCAGTAGCTTAGGGCCTCATCAAACCTAAATCCAGCCGGGAGCATTCATGAAGTATTTTGATAATTTAGCTAAAAATAAGAACTGGAAATGAATTGGACAAAAGTAATTATATGCGATAATAGTAATAATTTATTATTTGTACCCCGCCCATCTGGCTGGGCTTCTCCAGCCACTCTGGGCGGTTTCCAACCAAGATTAAAAAATACATTAAAATGTCACACATTAAAAACTTCCCTGAAGATGTCTTCTAAACGTCAGGTAGTTGTTTATTTCTTTGCTGTTTATGCAAGGGAAAATAAATGTGAAACTTGGAAACGTGAGGGTTGGGGGGGGGAGTCAGATAAGATGAATTTGGTGTTAAGATGAATGAAAAAAATGTTGATTTAAAAAACCTTGGAAAAGATTTAAATATATAGATATAAAAGCAAGATACCTGGGTCTCTATAAGTATAGAGGGGTCTCTATAGTATAGTGTATTTTAAAATGGGGTTTCAGAGTTTTTAGGGGTTTTTGAATGTTTTATGTAGGTTTTTCAATTTCATTGTTCTGCATGGGACAATGACAATAAAGATATCGTATATCAGCTGCCTTCTTACCTTATAGTCCAGGGCAGCCTCTTTGGCAGGGAGCACTGCGTGAGTTTTGTGCTCCTTGGACCTGTCGCAGACCACGCAGATCAGGCTCTGGTCATCTTGGCAGAAGAGTTTCAGAGGCTCCCGGTGCTTCTGGCACCTGCCCATCCTCTCTCCCGGCGCTTCTTCCACCTGGCCTCTTGAACCGCTTGGCGATCTCCACCATCTCCGCCAGTTCCCGGTTAGGCCTGAAATCTTTCTTGCAAGACCTCCTGCGGCAGTGAGGGCAGGAGAAGCGGGTCCGGGCGTCGTCGCAGCACTGGGCGATGCAGGCCTGGCAGAAGTTGTGCCCGCAGTCTATGGACACCGGGTCTTGGAAATACTCCAGGCAGATGGAGCAAAGGGCAGCCTTTTGCAGGCCTCGCATGGGGTCCTCCTCCTCCTCCTCTGCATCCATGCCGTGCAGGGAGGTGGGAGGCAAGTTGTGAGTCTTTGCCTGAGCCCCTGCCTGCAGGATCAAAGGGAGCAACTTCCTTCTCCAATCCGATTGGCTGTTGTGCAAAGGGGCAGCATTTATTTTTTTAAAAAATATATATTTTCATTAAAAGATTTTCTTGGTTTACAAAAGCCTTGCTCTTTTTTTCAGGTTGTGCAGTCCTTCTTACAAATCAATTACATTTGTTGTGAGACCTTAGTGTTGAGTACAGTATAAAGTTGGGGAAGAAGAGGGAGGAGAGGAGGGGGTGGGGTGGTGAGGCTTATATTTTTATATAGTGTAGGTGTGGGGTTTTGTTGTGTGTGTGTGTGTGTCTATCTATCTATCATCTATCTATCAAATCAAATATATCCTTTATTAGGCATAGCAAACCAGCTCATTAAGAAACCAATTTCCCCCACGCCTGTGAGGGTACTATCACTTTAAGTGAATCAGATGAGGCTGGAACAGGCCTTGGGGGTAGGAGAATGATTCAGCAATAGAGAAGCTATGGCTTCCTTTAAACAGAGATGACCCATTTATTATTATTTATTTATTTTTAAACAGTTTCATAAAGTTTGTCTTATGTTTATGGACATCTGGACTTCTGCAAGTTACTAATATGAGGATAGCCCAGTGTCTGCTGCTCTTGAGAGCCAGGTCAGAGACAGAGAGTGCAAGCCTGGACAAAAATATTTATGGTGTGGCTCTAGAACCATCAAAATCAAGTTTATTTCTATGCTGTTTTTCCAAATTCTGCTCCGAGCAGCTCACGACAACCGTCATGGAAGAGGCAGAGGCACTTGTAAAGGGACCTACAACACCACACCGTTTTATTAGGCAACAATCCTCATAGCACACTATTCAGGACCACCAGCGAATATCGAGATAGTATACCACTGAAAATGCATTTCCGTCTTGTTGTCTCTCGTTTTCTAATCAGCTTAAGTAAAGCTTGCCAAGGGCAGACTGACCTTCATCAGAAGACTGGGGGCTGGTTTCAAAGCCATCAGAACAATAATTTCATTGTACGCTCAGACATTCTTCATGTAGCAAGATAACACTGGCAGAAAAGTAGGATATTCTGCATGGGACAAATTGATAACTTTGCTTAAAGATATCTGTTGCTATGGCTTTGCACAGTACATAGGAGCATGTTTTGAGAATGCATAGAGGCAGCCAGTGAAGATGGTTTAAGTTTCTGTCACAATTGCATTCCTTCCTGTAATATTATTAAAGCTGTGTGTACCCAGACAGCATCTTAAAAAGCAGAGACATCACCTTGCCAACAAAGGTCCGTATTGTTAAAGCCATGGTTTTCCCAGTAGTGATGTATGGAAGTGAGAGCTGGACCATAAAGAAGGCTGATCGCCGAAGAATTGATGCTTTTGAATTATGGTGCTGGAGGAAACTCTTGAGAGTCCCATGGACTGCAAGAAGATCAAACCTATCCATTCTGAAGGAAATCAGCCCTGAGTGCTCACTGGAAGGAAGCTGAGGCTCCAATACTTTGGCCACCTCATGAGAAGAGAAGACTCCCTGGAAAAGACCCTGATGTTGGGAAAGATCAGGAGAAGGGGATGACAGAGGACAAGATGGTTGGACAGTGTTCTGGAAGCTACCAGCATGAGTTTGACCAAACTGTGGGAGGCAGTGGAAGACAGGGGTGCCTGGCGTGCTCTGATCCATGGGTCACGAAGAGTCGGACATGACTAAACGACTAAACAACAACAACAACCCTTTGTTTGGGGGTTCCAGCTTTTCAGAGATATCCACTGTGGTCTCTAGATTTACTCTTCAGCAATAAATTTGAACTTTTTCCACGCGCTGAGTTTGTCTTCTTTTGGTTGAAGGGTCATCGTTCTCATCCCACCATCCTTTGTGGGACAAGTTCAAAAGAGGTTTTAGCAGTTCTCATTTTTATATGTAACCTGCCACGAGTCCCATCAGGAAGAAGGCAGGGTATATATCAGGCATAGGCAAACTCCGGTCCTCCAGATGTTTGGGACTACCATTCTCATCATCCCTGACCACTGGTTCTGTTAGCTAGGGATGATGGGAATGGTAGTCCCAAACATCTGGAGGGCCGGAGTTTGCCTATGCCTGATATATATAAATATTGTTGTGAGTTGGGGGGGGGGTGTTAGGCTATATGGGGCCTGAGTCCCTTCCAATTCCTGGATCCAGCGAGGATTACATTGCTGGCATAGCCAGCCTAGCTTCCTGGTGTGGTAGTGGCTTAAGTACAATTCCTTAAAATAACAAAGGAAGTGGCTCTGTGTCAGAGGACGAATGGCGGGTCCCCCTCCTCACCTGGCTGGTATTTTAGAAGAACCAAATAATGGGTAGGCAAACTAAGGGGCCAGATCCGGCCGAATCGCCTTCTAAATTTGGCCCACAGACGGTCCAGGAATCAGCATGTTTTTACATGAGTAGAATGTGTCCTTTTCTTTAAAATGCATCTCTGGGTTAGTTGTGGGGCCTGCCTGGTGTTTTAACATGAGTAGAATGTGTGCTTTTATTTAAAATGCATCTCTGGGTTATTTGTGGGGCATAGGAATTCCTTCATCCCCCCCCCTCCCAATATAATCCGCTCCCACCCCCAAGGTCTGAGGGACAGTGGACTGGCCCCCTGCTGAAAAAGTTTGCTGACCCCTGGACTAAAGACACATACAACAGTGTATTTAGTCCAGGGGTCAGTTGGAAGCTAGGAGGAGGCCGGTTGAAGCCCGTGAGGGAGAGACATGCTTCATTTCTGCTGGAATCCAAGCCTGTGGTTATGGGAGAAGCAAGACTTTATGGAGCGTTAATGCTGTGAGACCTGTAGAACTCGAAGTAGCAGGGTTGCCCAAAACCAAGTTTTTGCGCAAAAACGTAATCAGTCCACAGCCTCGGCCCCCACTGCATCACCGAAAGTGGAGTGTTTTGTGTGCAGGACAAGACGTTTGAATGTAATGCAAGGGTAGCCACAGTGTGGGGTGTGTCTGTGTGTGGAATAAGTGTACCTGCTCAACCCCATTGCCAAAGGTGGGTGGAGATGGAGACAACCCGAAAAGCAGACTATTTAGAACTAGGAAGAATGAATGGGAAAACACAGGTTTTCAGGGGTCTTTCCCCAAGTAAAACCAAAGGCAAAAAGTACCCGTGGGAATGGCCAACGTCGGACCAAACTAAAAATGGAACAACTAGGTCCAGAGTTAATGTGGATCAGCCCCAGTTTTTCATTTTCCCATGATCAGCCTGGCAGCAGATCATTTTATTTTTCCATTTCCTAACTGACCAGTTGATCAATCAATCTCTACCTTTCAAGAAGGGTTTTAAAAGCAGCTTAACCTGCAGGCATAAGAAAATGATTGGCTTCTGATCACCTCCATGCTATGAAAAGCTTCTCATGGCTGCAGATCAAGCTGTTCATTGCGCAGGAAGGCAAACTGGATTAAGATTAAATGTAACCAAACTTAAATGAAAACAGGTGTCACTCTGCCTTTCTATTTGTATGTTGAGCATAGTTATCCTTGCACATATTGCATTGATTCATATTGTTTATTCTGAATAAAATCAGAACGACGTGGAAAAATCTTGTGCTTCGATAGCATCCATTTCCAAGTTCTTGAGGGAGGCTGTCATTTCACCACCGATTTCTACACACAGCCACAGTCCAGTTTGCTCACTCTTTCCTCCATCCACCCAGTTAGCAGGCCATGTGTAAGGGAAAGAACCCTGGTAAAAAGTTGGGGAGGGGAGATATGGGTTCCTCCCCACCCCAAAAAAATTAGAAAGAGGGGAAGGTGGATTTCTCACACTGGCTGCTTGCTTGGTCCTCCCTCATTTTATCCTTTCCTCGCCAGCCAGCCAGCCAGCCAGCCATCAGCAGCAGTCTCTGTGACATCCTCACATCTTTTTACAGGCACCTGCCGGTCTTCTTCATGTGGGGCCCAGAGGCACCCTGCAGAATTAAATGGGTGGAGAGCTTTGCTCTGGCTGCATTGCGCTCATGGTGAAGGACTGTTGTTGTGTTTTAAAGGAAGGTTTTGTGGGTGCTGTCTGATGGCGCCAGCCATCTGCAGTGAGGGGCAGGGGATGTGCAGTCCAGGCCTAACGGTGCCGCTCCTTTAATATGAAACTTCCAGACGTTGTTGTACTACAACTCCCATCAGCCTCTGCCAGCGGTCAGGGATGATGGGAGTTGTAGTCTAGCAACATCTAGATGGCACCATGTTGGCTATCTCGACCTGATATGATGTATGTATTCTTCTAACATCGGCTGTGTTTAAAAGAGCTGAAATCAGCACAAAGTTTGTGCAATTTAGAACTGATATGCACAATACAATTTGCTAGTGTTTTGTTTTTTATTGGCACAAAATGTGGGTTTTTGCTGAAGGAAATTTGGGATTGGTTTCACAACAGGATCCTTGCCTTGCAAGTGGGACATGGCCTGTAAAGCCACTCTTCCCGTGCCGTCGAGAGGACAGCTACCCAAACCTAGACAAGTGATATTTTTGCGTGTGTGTTACTCAGCCTCACTGCAGTTAGCCCAATACACTAACATCAAAACTCGCTGCTAAATCCTCAGCTCGGTTCCAGGCCAGACCCAGAGCCAAGGGAAGATTCTTTCGTGACTGAACATCGCTGGTGAGAAAACGTAGATTAACACTGATGTATCGGCATCAAAAAATGCCACTCGTTCCTCTTCATAGTCCAGAAATACCCAGACTCTCCTGGGGCAGTTGCCCGAGGGCAAGATAGTCGGAGGATAGGTTAGAGCTTCAAGGAGATCCCCACTTTGTTGTAGAGCCCATATCTGCTCCTCGGGACTAGGGGTGATCTGCCCTTTCCTTTTAACAGATTCTTTTGCAAAGCCCACGGCCCAGTGCTTCCCACTGGCCACTTCAACTTCCCAATAATGCCTCCCCGACGTGAGTCCCTCACAGCCCAGCACACAGGGGTAAGGATCAAATCTCTCGGGGTTGTCAGCTACATCCTGCCATGCATCTCCGAGTCTCACACTCTTCTGATCCGCCGAGAGGACGAGGAAGGGGTTTGCGGTGTCTCCATCCAGCGTCACGTTCACTTGGAAGGGAGGGAGGAAAAAGAGAGAGTGTATGTTACAGACAACCTATCCATTCTGAAGGAAATCAGCCCTGAGTGCTCACTGGAAGGACAGATCCTGAAGCTGAGGCTCCAAGGCTTTGGCCACCTCATGAGAAGAGAAGACTCCCTGGAAAAGACCCTGATGCTGGGAAAGATGGAGGGCACAAGGAGAATGGGGCGACAGAAGGACGAGATGGTTGGACAGTGTTCTCGAAGCTACCAGCATTAGTTTGACTAAACTGCGGGAGGCAGTGGAAGACAGGAGTGCCTGGCGTGCTCTGGTCCATGGGGTCACGAAGAGTCGGACACGACTAAACAACAACAACATGTTACAGACAGAACTGGTTCCCTATTACAATGCATCTGTGTATGTTATGTTCTCTAATACTGTATTTTGATGCACGCTTTCCCTGAATATACGTATTTTTGTGACACATTATTTGTTGCTACGGAGAACCGCACTGCAACATTAAAAGAAGGAGTTTCAAAGGGTGGCTGTTTTGATTTGTCCGGAAAAATTTACACATCACTTGGGAAGACAGGCAAACTAATACCAGTGTACTGGAAGATGCAAAGATCACCAGTGTCGAAGCAATGATTCTTCAACATCAACTTTGTTGGACTAGTCATGTTGTGCGGATGCCTGATTATCGTCTTCCAAAGCAACTACTCTATTCTGAACTTAAAAATGGAAAGCGTCATGCTGGTGGTCAACAACAGAGGTTTAAAGACTCTCTCAAGGGAAATCTAAAAAAAATATAGTATAAACACCGACAACTGGGAAACACTGGCTTGCGAGAGCTCCAGTTGGAGGACAGCCTTTACCAAAGGTGTCATGGACTTTGAAGACACTCAAACTCAGGACGCAAGGGAGAAAAGTGCTAAGAGGAAGGTACGCTTGGCAAATCCATGCTGTGATCAACTCCGACCCGGAAACCAATGTCCCCACTGTGGAAGGACGTGTGGATCTAGAATTGGCCTTCACAGTCACTTATGGACTCATTGTTAAAACCGTGTTTATGGAAGACAATCTTACTCGGCTACGAGTGATCACCAAAGAAGAATTCCAGAAAGTGCTAATTAAGTAGATTTGCCTTTCCCTGGGAACGGAATTAAAAATCTCCCCTGCCCCTACTGCTGCAACATACCCAGAAAGTGTGCAACCGCTACTGAGCACAAAAACTACTCACCTCTTGTGCCTCTTTTTTTCACTTCGGCATAAGGCAACTCAAATAATCTTGTCCTGCCTTTCCGGACTCCTAGTTCCTCTTTGGACAAAGATATGCTCTCCAGTTCAACTGACACAGCAGCTAGAGGAAGAGAGGAGAAAAATGGAGATTAGATTCCACAAAGATGGTGCGCTTGGGCCAGTGGTTTTCAGAATTATACATTCAAGGAACTCTTCCCCTTCAATTTATATAATGTGGAGCTCTGGTGTGTCTGCCAAAGAGAAACATGATCTAGAGCAAGTGTGGGCAGCAGGTAGACAGGGCACTGGTAGAGCTCAGCGTATTTCGAAGTAGATCAGCAAGAGTTGTTTATTGACTCCAGGTTGTCCATATTTTGCAGGAGGGATTCAAGAGCATACGGGAAAATTTAGCTTTACAAAATTATTTATTATTATTATTAATTAAATTTGCATGCTGCCCTATATCCCATAGACCTCAGAGCTCTTCACATTAAATTATAACATGAAAACACAAAATACATAAAGTGGGATCTGTTGCCCTGGTGCTCCAAATTCACTTTTTGCCCTGGTGTTGCCCTGGTGCTCCAAATTCACCTGGTGCTCCAAATTCAAGAAAAGATTTTTTGCAGTTAGGAAAGTAATGGGGAAATGCATAGAGAAGTATGGGATGGACAGATACCCTGCCAGGCTGCTTCTGCCAGATAGCTCCAACCTCTCCACTCCCCTGACTCATCACTGCACTGTCCAGGTATAAAGCAGCAATACTGCTGTCAAAAGGGTGGTACCACGGCATGGCTCCACCATGCTGGCCACTCCTGATCACCAGCTGGGAACCCAATGTCAGTGGCGAACTTTGGGCTTTCAAATTTCAGCGCACCCTGTGCAGCACCAAAATCCCATTCCTCCCTGCTTCCTTGTTGTGGCGCCTCCTGCAACACCCTCTTGGCTTGGCACCCAGGGCAGGTGAACCGGTCACACTCCCCTAAATCGCCCTCTGCAAATAATCCGGGAGCACAACTTATCTTGTCGTTAAGTTGCTTTGAGACTAGATAGATAGATAGATAGATGATATAGATATAGGTATAGGTATAGATATGGGACGCGGGTGGCGCTGTGGGTTAAACCACAGAGCCTAGGACTTGCCGATCAGAAGGTCGGCGGTTGAATCCCCATGACGGGGTGAGCTCCCGTTGTCCGGTCCCTGCTCCTGCCAACCTAGCAGTTCGAAAGCACCTCAAAGTGCAAGTAGATAAATAGGTACCGCTCTGGCAGGAAGGTAAACGGCATTTCCGTGAGCTGCTCTGGTTCGCCAGAAGCGGCTTAGTCATGCTGGCCACATGACCCGGAAGCTGTACGCCAGCTCCCTCGGCTAGTAAAGAGAGATGAACGCCGCAACCCAAGAGTCGGTCACGACTGGACCTAATGGACAGGGGTCCCTTTACCTATATATATGTATGGCATATATATAGTGACAAACGAATGTTAAAAATTACTATTTTACTATTTCTAGTAATAATAATTCCTCCCTTCCCTCCCACCCCCACCTTGGCACCTTTGAATTTCTTTAAGATCTCTTCCAGATGCATCCTTTTTTCGGAAAATGCATCCAGTATCTTCTCCAGATCTTGAGAGCAACCCGCTGGTTTCTGGGTCTTCTGATCCTCGCATCTGGAAGGGGAAAAGGCTCTCCTTAACCCATGTTCCTTGCCTCTGCCTCTAGCTTGGGAGTTAGTGATTCCCAGAATAAGCGTATTCCCCACCACCACCCCCGAACCAGTGATTGTGTGTAAAGTGGATCAAGGCCACCCTTGGAGCAGGAAGCAGCGTCAATGAGACACTTGCACCCCAGCACAGATCCTGCAACCCTCAGGCCTGTCTCTAGTACTGGTCTGAACGCATGAGAGAACCGTACCTGCTCAAGGTGTTTTTGAGGTCCTAGAGATGGGAGAGAGAACACAAAGTGAGATCATGCTAATCAGACATACATTGCTCATTGTTCCACATTGTTAAAGTTCCATATTCCTGCATTGCAGGCGGTTGGGCAATATTGTCAGGAGCTCAGCCTACACTCAAGTAGGACCCTGGCAGAGACACATGCCCGACTGGCATGTTCCCTCCCTCCTGGTTGATTGTTCGGGAGCTTCAAAAGCTTTCTTCTGCCCGAACATCACAGAGACCGATGCCAACAGACATCGGCACACTTAGGGATCCGCAGAGTCTTCGCAGCTTGTGTAAGAGACCTCAGCAACTCAGCATTTTGGCTAATCTACTTTATTTACATATAAACACACACGGAGCACTGCAACATGGCTCCCTCTCTCTCTAGCATCAGACAGCAAAGAGAAAAAACAAAGGACAATAGTGCCACTTCATGGAACACAGTAACACAAACATCCTGTCTCTGTCACTTCCCACTCTGTAGAGTCAAAACATACACCGTCATGTGATAGACAACAATCCCATGACTGCAATCACGGAGGAGGAATTCTAACAAATATGACCCGCATGGTCCCTTCCAGCTTTACAATTCTCTGATTTTAAGTGTTTTTACTCTTAACTTCTCTCATTTGCAGCGTCTCTCCGGATACTTTGCTTGCATCTTTTCTCTGCTTAAACGTCTTAATATTTATTCCCAGGTGAAAACACACTTTAAATACTTGTAAGGTCATTTGTTTGCAGTCGTTCCTTCTGCCCTGTCGGTCCTTTTCCTCCCATCTTCCTTTTGCTATTTCCCCCAAAGGCTTTTTTTTTATTTTGAAAAGTAAATAAATAAAAGGTTTTCATCTGTTCAAACAATGAAGAGATAAAAGAAATAACAGCGGGTACTAACCATCTCTCTCTCTTTGGCACGTTCATCAGCTGGCCAAACTCTGACATCACTCTGATGCAAGGTGATTGACAAGTGGGTAGCCCCACCCACTTTTCATGCAGCCTCCAGGGGTGTGGGGAAAATCATGATCCGGCCCACTGGACAGATCCCCTATTCCTGCTCTAGAGTGTTTTTGTAATATTTGCTTTTCTTACAAATGTACAGGAAGAGCCCAAAGGTGCTGCTTCTACACATCAAATCTGCAGAGAGAGATCCTGCAACCGCAACATGCTTTCGGTCCCTCAATTGAAACTCTTAGAATCATAGAATCGTAGAATTGGAAGGAACCCCGAGGGTCACCTAGTCCAACTCCCTGCAATGCCGGAAATCTCAGCTCATGGTTCCCCATCCAATTTGAAACCATACCGGACCCTGCTTAGCTTTGCAGATGCGCTAGCAGTTTCGCTGCTACACTGCTGATTTGCCAGTATTGTGTGACTAGCCCTTGAATTGGCTCCCTCCAGGAAATTCAAGCAAGAACACTAAGCCCCATGTGAAGACCAAAAAAAGCCAGGTTCACTGCTCCATTCTAGATCATCAGACCTTTTCCAGCCCCGTACATGGCAGTGAGTTAGGTCCTGAATACAAGCAGGAGCCGTCCTCCAAATAAACACGTGGGAGGATAACTCACCCCATTGCTAAATCTAGATTTACCCCATGCCTGTCTAGATTTAGTAGCCCCAAGGCCCCAGAGGAAGGATCCCTCCTCTCCTTACCTGGAAAAATTCACTCACAGGCTGCTTACATCTCTCTTCCACATCGCGGACGAGGTCACGAAGCTTGGAAATCTCTGATGTGGTGGTCTTCTCCTCCATTATCACTTCCTTCTGCAGCTGTTCTAGCCTGGCCAGCAGGAATTCTTCTTGATCTTCTAGAAACTGATAGAGCTGCTCAAATTCAGACACAATCTTCTTCCCTTCGGAGTCTAACCTTTCCTGCAAAGAGCAGGTCAAAAGGAAGGCAGGGAAGGTCAACAGAAAATGTTACGGTATAGAGTTGGGGCATTAACACCTGAACCACCGACTTTCCCCCATCACTCAGCATTCACGGTGGAAAAGCACCCCTCGCTGATATTTTGTTTGTTATGCACCTCTTCAAGGCACAGAAGCCTGGTAGAAGGGGGGAAATGGGCAATTTGGACTGTTTTCATCCACCTGGCAGCCCTCCACATGTTTTAAACTCCAATCAGGTGTTACGTCTGAGAACTGCTGACTTACCAGACGTTTCAAGCGTCTTCTTGCTTCAGCTAGTTTCAGGGCCTGGAGTTCCTCGGTCTTTTGCTTCCAGATCTTCAGTTGCATCTGAAAGTGTTCCTTTTCAACAGAGAAATTATTAGCAGGCATGGGGGTGGGGTGGGGAACCTTACCTATACAGTGGTACCTCGGGTTAAGTACTTAATTCGTTCCGGAGGTCCATTCTTAACCTGAAACTGTTCTTAATCTGAAGCACCACTTTAGCTAATGGGGCCTCCTGCTGCTGCTGTGCAGCCGGAGCACGATTTCTGTTCTCATCCTGAAGCAAAGTTCTTAACCTGAAGCACTATTTCTGGGTTAGCAGAGTGTGTAACCTGAAGCGTATGTAACCTGAAGTGTATGTAACCCGAGGTACCACTGTAGTAAGATAGGAAGGGGAAAGTGCTTTATTATCATTAATAATAATATGTATTTTGTGTTTTTATGTTGTGAACTGCCCTGAGATCTATGGATGAAGGGTGCTATAGAATCATAGAATCATAGAATCATAGAGTTGGAAGAGACCACAAGGGCCATCGGGTCCAACCCCCTGCCAAGCAGGAAACACCATCAGAGCACTCCTGACATATGGTTGTCAAGCCTCTGCTTAAAGACCTCCAAAGTAGGAGACTCACCACACTCCTTGGCAGCAAATTCCACTGTCGAACAGCTCTTACTGTCAGGAAGTTCTTCCTAATGTTTAGGTGGAATCTTCTTTCTTGTAGTTTGGATCCATTGCTCCGTGTCCGCTTCTCTGGAGCAGCAGAAAACAGCCTTTCTCCCTCCTCTATGTGACATCCTTTTATATATTGAACATGGCTATCATATCACCCCTTAACCTCCTCTTCTCCAGGCTAAACATGCCCAGCTCCCTTAGCCGTTCCTCATAAGGCATCATTTCCAGGCCTTTGACCATTTTGGTTGCCCTCCTCTGGACACGTTCCAGTTTGTCACTGTCCTTCTTGAACTGTGGTGCCCAGAACTGGACACAGTACTCCAGGTGAGGTCTGACCAGAGCAGAATACAGTGGCACTAATTACTTCCCTTGATCTAGATGCTATACTCCTATTGATGAGGCCCAGAATTGCATTGGCTTTTTTAGCCAATGCTATACAAATTTAATTAACAACAACAGGGAGGTAAGTTATGAGAGTCTGAGCAACCTGTGTGGGGCTTAAGTCACATAATTCTCACTTGAAATAATCAGCAAAAGGGATAACGTGCTTGCTTCCAGTTCTACATATGGCAAGAGTCAACTCACTTGAATAACTAAGACCACATACATGGCTTGTATTTAAATTGCTGTTATCACTTTAAACAGTCAAGGCTTCCCTGAAAGAATTATGGGAGCTGTAGTTTGTTAAAGGCACTGAGAGCTACCCTCGCAGAACTACACTTCCCAGAGCAACTGAAGAATCAATCCCCCTTCGCAGAGTGCTCTGGGGACTGTAGCTTTGTGAGGGAAATGGGAGTTCTCCTAACACTTCTCAGCACCCTCAACAAACTACGTCTCCTAGAATTCTTCGGGGGAAGGTGTGACTGCACTTTAAATGAGTGGTATGAATGTGCAGGTGACGCTGTGGTCTAAACCACTGAGCCTAGGGCTGGCCGATCGGAAGATCGGCGGTTTGAATCCCCGCGATGGGGTGAGCTCCCATTGCACGGTCCCAGCTTCTGGCAACCTATCAGTTTGAAAGCACATCAAAGTGCAAGTAGATAAATAGGTACTGCTCCAGCGGGAAGGTAAATGGCGTTTCCGTGCGCTGCTCTGGTATCGCCAGAAGCAGCTTAGTCATGCTGGCCATATGACCCAGAAAAACTGTCTGCAGACAAACGTCGGTTCCCTCGGCCAATAAAGTGAGATGAGCGCCGCAACCTCGTTTGCGACTGGACTTAACTGTCAGGGGTCCTTTACTTTACCTTTTATGAATGTGACCATAATGATGCTCATTAATTTCAAGGGGTCTGCCCTGGGTAAAACTGAGTTGAATACAGTGGTACCTCGGGTTAAGAACTTAATTCGTTCTGGAGGTCCGTTCTTAACCTGAAACCGTTCTTAACCACTTTAGCTAATGGGGCCTCCTGCTGCCGTCGCACCACCACCGCACGATTTCTGTTCTTATCCTGAAGCAAAGTTCTTAACCCGAGGTACTATTTCTGGGTTAGCGGAGCCTGTAAACTGAAGCGCCTGTAACCTGAAGCGTCTGTAACCTGAGGTACCACTGTACCACGTGTAAGAAGCTACCTTATACCAAGCCCATCTAGCTCTGTATTGTTCACACGAGTGTTCCTCAACCATAGGCCCTTCATATGTTGTTGGACTATAACTCCCATCATCCCTAGCTAGCAGGACCAGTGGTCAGGGTTGATGGGAGTTTTAGTCCAACAACAAGGTAGAGAAAGGCTGGTTTACACACCAACCAACCCCTAACAGCTCCCCAAAGGCAGGAAACATTCCCTGTCTCCCCTAGAGATACCAGGGACTGAACCATGGATGTTCTGCAAGCAGTCCAGATACTCTGCCCTGCCTGAGCTACACCCCTTTCCCCTAAACTACAGTGATACCTTGGGTTAAGATCTTAATTCATTCTGGAGGTCCGTTCTTAATCTGAAACTGTTCTTAACCTGAGGTACCGCTTTAGCTAATGGGGCCTCCCGCTGCCAGCACACGATTTCTGTTCTCATCCTGAGGTAAAGTTCTTAACCCGAGGTACTATTTCTGGGTTAGCGGAGTCTGTAACCTGAAGCATCTGTCACCTGAAGCGTCTGTAAGCCGAGGTATGACTGTACCTTGTAATCCTGAACAGCTTCTTCTATTGGAACGACAGCGTGATGTTGATGCTCGTTGGAAATAGTGCATACCAAGCAAATGGGTATCTTGTCGTCTTTGCAGAAGACCTTGAGGTGTTCCAAGTGCTTCTCACACACTTTCCCCTCTTCCAGAGCTTTGGCAGCTTCCAGATTCAAGCATTTGACAATTTCTACGATTCTCGCCAGATGCTGGTTCTCTCTGAAGCTCTTCTGGTGGCTGCTTTCCCCACACTGGGGGCAGGACACGCCAGTCTCCTGCCCCCACCAGCACTGAGTGATGCAGGCCTGGCAGAAGTTGTGCCCACAATGTACAGACACTGGCTCTTTGAAATACTCCAGGCAGATGGAGCAGGAAGCTTCCTTGCTCAGGTTTCCTAAGAGAGCGCTTGCATCCATGATTCTCTAGTCAGAAGTTCAGTTTCACTTTCCTCTGCTCGCTTGGACGTGTCATTAACTGGCTCCAGCTCCCGGATTGGATGAGATGACACCAGGCTGCCTTGGAGACAGTAAATTCCTGCGAACTGTAATGAGGAAGTTGGATTGACGTTGAGTCCAAGTTTTCTTCTGCCAAAACAAATTAAGGCTTAATACCGAAGGCAGGCCCCAAAGAGCAGTGGAGTCCGCTTTTAATGTTTCAGTAAGAAGCTTCCAGAGCTTTCTGATCAACATTTTTGGTGTGCGCTTGTGTCTGCAAGCTATTTTTATTTGTTTTAATTAAAGCTTGAAAACACAACGAAAACACAGTATACAGAAAGAAACATGCTTGGTATTTTATGTTTATTTCTGTATACTGTGTTTTCTGTGTGTGTGTGTTTTCAAGCTTTAATTAAAATAAATAAAAACAGCTTGCAGACACAAGCGCACACCAAAAACTTTTTAAACTAAAAAGTAGAAGAAAAGGGATAAAGGAAATGAAAAAACTTCTGCCCAGAGAGGAGTGCTGGGCTGCACTCCACTAGGGTTGACTCCCCCAAAAATATTCGCGGCCAGGGCTATGGCATCCCACATACCACAAAATTTGTGTGTTAAGATTTTGCAAAAGAAGCTGAACAGCTTTGCCAACTTTTGTGTCCAGATTTTCACTTTTTGAAATATGGCAACCCCCTCCCCCTGCTCCTCCTCCTATTTTCTGCCAGATGGTCTCCTGGACTCTTCTTGAAAGAGCTTTAAGATCTGCTTGGTCTGTACTGTGGGTAGGTCAGAGCGGCCATTTCTGCCTCCAACTGTGGAGGCAGAAAACAGGCACCTTGGCGAGGAACCATCAACAGCCATTGTGGAATGACACAACCATCCGACTACTGTACACCCAACGACCCACAACTGGGATTACTTCAGTAATATTTCCCTTTTTGGTGATGCCTCTGTACCTGTTGCTATTGTTTGTTTGTTTGTGTGTGTGCATTTTAAAATTAGTTTTTATTGAAATTGTTTTTTGTGATACAAACCAAACAAATAACCAAGGAAATCTACGTATGGCGTCCCCGCTTTCAAATCATAGTCTTTGTCATTGTTTGTTTGCATTTGGTATGAGACACTATTGTCCTAGGGTTGGGGGGATAATGATGGTTGTCAGGGCCGGATTTAGGTTTGATGAGGCCCTAAGCTACTGAAGGTAATGGGGCCCTTTATATGTCCAGCTGTCCTTTGTCAACAACAAATTGTCACTGTTTTTTGTGTTGAATATATACTATATGGCAATTTATGGGCCTAATAGGTATATAAAACCATTTGCACATAAAAAATAGGAGCCTACACAACACAAAACACTGTATGTTTTATTTTATTTGTTTTTTATCTTATAGTTTGGAAATGTACATCCAAAATGTATGTAGGTTTTGTTTTATTTGTTTTTTATCTTATATTTTGGAAATTTACATCCAGTTTTTTCCCCTTAATTTTTTTGGGGGCCCCCCAAGAGAGTGGGGCCCTGAGGAGCTATAGCTTGTTCAGCTTATACGTAAATCCAGCAATAACAACAATTTGTTGTTGGGTATTGTAGTCCGAAACGTCTGCAGGGCACCAGGTTGGCAGAGCGCAGAAGCGCAGATTTGTTGTTATTGTTGGCATTCTCTTCTTTTGATCTAATTCGTTTGAAACTGAAAATCAAGAAAACACAAATGTGTGGGGGGCGGAGCCATCCACTTTTCAGGAGACGCAGAGAGAGGACTGGGCTGGAAACCAGCTATTGCCCATAACGCAGCCTTCCCCAACCTGGCGCCCTGCAGACGTTTCGGACTACAGTACCCATCAGCCCCTGCCAGCGTACACGCTGGCAGGGGCTGATGGGTACTGTAGTCCGAAACGTCTGCGGGGCACCAGGTTGGCGGAGCGCAGAAGCGCAGATGCTCCTGCGCTTCTTGGGCGCGCAGAGAGTTACGCTCCCTCGGTCCTAATCCTCTCCCTGGCTCGGCCTCTCCGCCTGAGCTACGGAGCGCCACTGAGCCCGGAGGACCGGGCACTGCTGCCTTTTCTTGCTCTTGCCGCCGCCATGGAGAACCCGGTGGAGAGCCTGCACAAAGAAGCCACTTGCTCCATCTGCCTGGAGTACTTCCGCGACCCGGTCTCCATCCCTTGCGGCCACAGCTTCTGCAGGTCGTGCATCGCCCAGTGCTGGAAGGAGCGCAGCAGCGACTTCTCGTGCCCTCAGTGCCGGGTGGTGTCCCTGCAGAGGAATTTCAGGCCCAACCGCGAGCTGGGCAACGTGGTGGAGATCGCCAAGAGGCTGGGATCCCGCGCCGAGCAGGAGGAGCCGGGCGGCGGCGGCGGCGGGAGGCAGCTGTGCCCGAAGCACCGCGAGGCGCTGAAGCTCTTCTGCAGCGAGGAGGAAGAGCTCATCTGCTGCATCTGCCGGGAGTCCCGAGCGCACAGGAGCCACGCTGTGTTCCCCGTGGAGGAAGCGGCCCACGATTATAAGGTGAAAAGTGGGAAAACGCGCACACACTTGACTGGGAACCAGGCAGAGGGGCCTTCTCAGTGGTGGCGCCCGCCCTGTGGAACGCCCTCCCATCAGATGTCAAAGAGATACCTGACATTTAGAAGACATCTGAAGGCAGCCCTGTCAGTGGCGTAGCGTGGGTTGTCAGCACCCGGGGCAAGGCAAGGAATTTGCGCCCCTAACCCGTGGATTTGCGCCCCCTAACCCGTGGATTTGCGCCCCCTAACCTGTGGATTTGCCCTAACCCCAGATGTTGCGCCCGGTGCGGCCGGCCCCCCCTGCACCCCCCACGCTACGCCACTGAGCCCTGTTCAGGAAGTTTTTAATGTGTGACATTTTAATGTAGTTTTAATCTTTGTTGGAAGCCGCCCAGAGTGGCTGGGGAAACCCAGCCAGATGGGCAGGGTACAAATAATAAATTATTATTATTATTTGGCGCCCTTGAGGCACCCCCTCCTCAGAACGGTGGAACATAGGACGGTGCCTCCCACCCAGCGCCAGATTTACATATAAGCTAAACAAGCTATAGCTTAGGGCCCCACTCTCTTGGGACCCCCAAAAAATTCAAAGGGGAAAAAACCTGGATGTACATTTCCAAAATATAAGATAAAAAAACAAATGAAATAAAACCTACATACAGCAACAGTGTTTTGTGTTGTGTGGGCTCCTAGGATGTAGTAGTAGTAATAATAATAATAATAATAATAATAATAATAATAATAATATAATAATAATAATTTATTATTATTATTTGTACCCCGCCCATCTGGCTGGCTGGCCAACAAAGATTAAAAATACAACAAAACGTCACACATTAAAAACTTCCCTGAACAGGGCTGCCTTCAGATGTCTTCTAAAAGTCAGGTAGTTGTTTATCTCCTTGACATCTGATGGGAAGGCATTCCACAGGGTGGGCGCCACTACCGAGAAGGCCCCCTGCCTGGTTCCCTGTAGCTTTGCTTTTCGCAGTGAGGGAACCGCCAGAAGGCCCTCGGCACTGGACCTCAGCGTCCAGGCAGAACGATGGGGATGGAGACGCTCCTTCAGTCATGGGCCCTGCCTGCTAGCCTGGTCCCTAAAATATCACTGGTTTGCTCATTTCTAGATATAGGGTGCCTACATTCTGCATGGACTGGTTGCACGGCAACATGTGCAAATGGATTTAGATACCTATTAGGTCCATAAATTACCACACAGCATATATCCAACACAAAAAACAGCAACAATTTGTTGTTGACAAAGGACGGCTAGACATATAAAGGGCCCCATTTCCTTCAGTAGCTTAGGGCCTCATCAAACCTAAATCCGGCCCTGCTCCCTCCAAGTTAGAAGCATTGGTCCATTTTGCTTGGTATAATGACAGTGATTCCCCAGGATTTCAGGAAGGAGTCTCGCCTAGGGCTGCCATATTTCAAAAAGTAAAAACCAGGACACCCTGAGCTGTTGACTCCCAAGTTGTTAATTTTTTTTAAAAATGCCAAAAACCCACAATTTTATTATTATTGTTAGTCTTAGTTGAATTTATATACCGCCCTATACCCGGGGGTCTCAGGGCAGTTCACAGAATAAAATCAAGATACAGTGGTATCTCGGGTTACATACGCTTCAGGTTACATACGCTTCAGGTTACAGACTCCGCTAACCCAGAAATAGTACCTTGGGTTAAGAACTTTGCTTCAGGATGAGAACAGAAATCATGCTCCGGCGGCACAGCAGCAGCAGGAGGCTCCATTAGCTAAAGTGGTGCTTCAGGTTAAGAACAGTTTCAGGTTAAGAACGGACCTCCAGAATGAATTAAGTATTTAACCCGGGGTAGGTAAAGGTAAAGGGACCCCTGACCATTAGGTCCAGTCGTGGCTGACTCTGGGGTTGCGGCGCTCATCTCGCTTTATTGGCCAAGGAAGCCGGTGTACAGCTTCTGGGTCATGTGGCCAGCATGACTAAGCCTTTTCTGGCGAACCAGAGCAGCACACGGAAACGCCGTTTACCTTCCCGCCAGAGCGGTATCTATTTATCTACTTGCACTGTGACATGCTTTCGAACTGCTAGGTTGGCAGGAGTAACCCGAGGTACCACTGTACTAAATCAAATACATAATAAAAATAAAAACAACAACCCAATAGCTCCCCACCCCTTCCAATTGCATTCTCTAAGATCCAGGACAGTGCACCGCCTTTCGGAAATTCCCCCAGATGTCAATTCTGCAGATATATGGCAGCCCTAGTCTCAACCAACTTTACCATGGATGGCCATCCGTCATGAATGCTTTACTTATGATTCCTGGAATAGATGACCCTTGGGGTCCACTACGGACAGGCCCATTTTTGTTGCGGTAGAACCTTGCACAAACACTGAAACTCAAAGGAAGGAAGCCGTTATTATCATAATAGTGAAAACGCTGATAATAATAATGCAACCTTATGTTGTTGACGACGATGACATTGAGACCAACCTACCAATATTATTAGTGCTATTAGCAGCAGCAGCAGCATTGTTCCTTCTCGTCTGAGAATCTTGTTGGTTGGTTTCCCCCCCTTCTTGCCTTTGAAACTATGTGTGACGTTGAAAGTATGTTTGAAGTTGGAGAAATAAAATGCTGGGTTCATGCCATAATATTTTATTTCCACTGCTCCATAATCTGAGTGGGTTTCTTTTGTTCCTGTGTTGATTATAGAATATCAGTATTTTTGTGTGTCTCACTATAGGTTAAATTGGATGTAACCCGTTGCTTGTGTGTGAGGCAGCAGGGGCATTAGTTACTAACGATAACACTATTTCAAAATAAGTTTCTCTTTGTTTAGAAAGAAATCCAGAGCCGTCTGCAGAGCTTAAAGGAAGAGAAAGAGAAGCTCCTGGGGTTAAAACTGGCTGGAGAAAATAGACACCAGGAATATCTGGTCAGTATAGAATCCTGTGGTATAGCCTAGCAAGGAATGTGGGCATTAGTTTATCTTTATTTAATGTGCTTTTACATCCTGGGTCTTGAAGATATAATGCAGGGCTTTAATCAGCAGACCAAGGAAACAGTGATGACCACCAGCTTGGAAGGCTTTAAAAGCGGGCTAATAAAATTCACATAGGGTAAGAGACTATCAGTGGGACGTGGATGGCGCTGTGGGTTAAACCACAGAGGCTAGCACTTGCCGATCAGAAGGTTGGCGGTTTGAATCCCCGCGACGGGGTGAGCTCCCGTTGTTTGGTCCCTGCTCCTGCCAACCTAGCAGTTCGAAAGCACGTCAAAAGTGCAAGTAGATAAATAGGTACCACTCCGGTGGGAAGGTAAACGACATTTCCGTGCACTGCTCAGGTTCGCCAGGAGTGGCTTAGTCATGCTGGCCACCTGACCCGGAAGCTGTACGCCGGCTCCCTCGGCCAATAAAGTAAGATGAGCGCCGCAACCCCAGAGTCGGTCACGACTGGACCTAATGGTCAGGGGTCCCTTTACCTTTAAGACTATCAGTGGTTGGAGTCACCTGGGAACAGGGAGGATATATAGACCTTGTAGTGTTCCAAATGCAGCTCTTTTCCCATGGCAACATTTCACTATATAAGAAGAGCCTCGCTGGATCAAACAAAAGACCCATCTTTTCTCGCAGGCAGGTTCTCTGATGTTCTAGTTGCTTCTGAATTTTAGCTTTTTGTTTTGTTGCTTTGATTATACTTGCATTTTGATTTGTGAAATCCGCTGCCTCAAATGCAGATGACACCAAACTCAGAGGGGTAGTTAATGCCATGGAAGACAGAATCAGGGTTCAGGATGACCTTAACTAACCCAATGAATTTGAATAGGGACAAATTTAAGGTTTTACACTTAGGCAGAAAGAACCAGCTGCACAAATATAAGATGGGGGGACACCTGGCTTGCCAGTAGTACACGTGAAAAGGATCTAGGGGTCTTAGTAGACCACATGCTGAACATGAGTCAACAGTGTGATGCAACAGCAAAACAAACAAACAAACAAACAAAAAGCTAATGCTTTTCTATGCTGCATCAACAGAAGTATTATGTCCAGATCAAGGGAAGTAATCTCTGTTCTGCCTTGGTCAGACCACACCTTGAACAGAGTGTCCAGTTCTGGGTACCACAATTTAAAAGGGATGTTGACAAGCTGGAACATGTGCAGAGGAGGGACAACCAAGAGGATCAAGGGTCTAGAAACCAGGCCTTATGAGGAACAGTTGAGGGAGTTGGGTATGTTTAGGCTGGAAAAGAGGAGACTGAGAGGAGATATGATAGCCATCTTCAGATATCTAAGGCACTGTCAGGTTGTGCTGCTGAATTTTAAAATCAAAACTTAGCATATTTTGGTTTTCCAAAAGAGTTCCAGTATTTCAGATTAATTTCTGCTTATTTGATTGGTTTTTGCTGATCTTCCCAACGGCCTGACCCCTCTTTCTCCCTCTTTCCTCCCTATGTTACAGAAGCAGACAGAAGCCGAGAGGCAGAAATTGATGTCTGAATTTGAGCTGGTGCATCACTTTCTGGAGGAGCAAGAAAAACTCCTGCTGCTTCAGCTGAATGAGCTGGAGAAGGAGATTATGAAGCATCAGAAAGAACATGGGGGAAAGTTTTCTGATGAGATTGTCTCTCTCAGTGCCCTGATAGATGAGATAGAAGAGAAGTGTACACAGCCAGACAGCGAATTCTTGCAGGTGAGATGAGGTGGTTGTTGGGTGGGGTAAAATTGAAAAAAAGGACACATCAAACTGAAGAATAAGCCTAAAACTGTCCTTAACATAACTGAATCCTTATACTTATTGCCCAGTAAGTAATACACAGGGTCCAGCTAAGTGTATGCAGACCAGAAAAGAGCTATATAAATAGCAAACACTATTGTTAGATATATCTTTCTACTGCGGTTGAAATGGCTTGCTCAGTAATGCCTGTCTCCTGTCTCAGCAGATGAATGCATAATTTCATTCCAATTAACTCATTTCCCCCTGCCCTGCTTTCTTCTCCTAATGATTAGAAGGTGCGCAGTTTCTAAACTACGCTGTCTCTGTTTCTCAGATATAAGTGGCTATAATGAGAATCTCCTGTTATGCTCATGTTGATGCAGAATTTCCTGTCTTTCTCTTCTCTATCCACCTACGCTCCTCTTCTCTCTCTGTAGGATATCAGAAGCACCTTGGGCAGGTATGTGGCACAGACCCCCACTGAAGGCATGCATTTGCATAAATATATGCCCTTAAGACTGTCCTGCTTCATTCTGGTTTGCAGGTGGTTTGCTTTTCAAAATACTAAAACTGTGGTATACTGTGACAGACCGCCTTGCCCAGAGATGGGGAACCAGGTGTTGTTGGACACCAGCTCCCATCAGGCCCAGCCTGTGTACCTGTCAGGGATGATGGAAGTTGTAGTCCAGCAACATCTGCAGAACAACATGTTCCACCATCCCTGATCTAACCTGCACTGTCAACTCTGAATGTGAAGGATTATCCAGAATCTCAGGCAGAGTTCTTTCCCGCGATTGCTAGCTGCGACCCTTTAAGTGAAGATGCCATGAGCTGGGCCGGGTCTTTTGTACATGTGGATCTCTGGCCCTTCCCACTTTTGTTAGCAGCTCCTCTCAGTCTCCAAGCTGAGATGGGCTTTCTGTTTCTTCCATATTCATACAATCACACTTTGGATACTCTTGGACTTTGGTTTGTATTACTGTGACGCGGGTGGCGCTGTGGTCTATACCACTGAGCCTTTTGGGCTTGCCGATCGGAAGGTTGATGGTTCGAATCCCTGCGACGGGGTGAGCTCCCGTTACTCTGTCCCAGCTCCTGCCAACCTAACAGAAAGCACGCCAGTGCAAGTAGATAAATAGGTACCACTGTGGCGGGAAGGTAAACAGCGTTTCTGTGAGCTCTGGTTTCCATAACAGTGTCCCGTTTCGCCAGAAGCGGTTTAATCCTGCTGGCCACATGACCTAGAAAGTGGACAAATGCTGGCTCTCTTGGCCTAAAAGCGAGATGAGCGTCACAACCCCATAGTCGCCTTTCACTGGACCTAACCGTCCAGGGGTCCTTTTCCTTTTTTTACCTTGTGTGAGAGCTATTCCAGAATGCCTTTTTTAAAAATGGACAGAGACACTGTGCTCTTAACAGCTTCACAAAAAATTGTTCTGGGGAGCCCAGGATATGCTTTTCCAGGCATAGCAAAAATAACAAGCAAAATGTGGGATTTAGTCTCTTTTGCAAAATCACATTTAACAGAATAGTCATAAGACCAATGAATGCACTGAAGAAAAACATTTCCCCAGGTACAAAATCCTGCACTATCACTTATCAGAAGATAGGATATTCTTACAGAGAAACTGCAGTCATCTCACTGCTTCTCCCAGAGAGCTAGATGTACTCATACTGTACAGTTCCGCCTCTGAGGGGCACATGCTACTATTTCATCTGTTGTATCACAGTGCCACCTTCCAGGGCTGAATCTTGGACCAGCACCGACTCAGATTTAAGTACAGTGGTACCTCGGATTACAGACGCTTCAGGTTACAGACTCCACTGACCCAGAAATAGTGCTTCAGGTTAAGAACTTTGCTTCAGGATGAAAACAGAAATTGTGCTCCGGCGGCGTGGCGGCAGCGGGAGGCCCCATTAGCTAAAGTGGTGCTTCAGGTTAAGAACAGTTTCAGGTTAAGTACGGACCTCCGGAATGAATTAAGTACTTAACCCGAGGTACCACTGTACAACTTTTGCCTGTAAAAAACCAAGTGTCACGCAGCCTTAATCGGGCATCTGCAGAACGGTGGGAAACTGACGCATTTCTTTTTCCAAGGTTTGACAAGGAGCCCTTTCAGCCACCTGAAGAGATGCCATCCAAGGTGGGAAAAAGACTCGGTGAATTATCTGAGAAAAACAGTGTGCTCACAGATATCCTGAATAAATTCAAAGGTACTGATGACCTGCTTTAAAAGTTGCAAGTAGAACTTTGGGCTAAAGGGTTCAATGCGAAGCCAGACACGCTGTCTTCCAGAATACTCCAGGCTGCACACACACACACACACACACCCTGTTTTCTGTCCCTCACAAAAAAAGACATTCAGCTTTCATGAGTACAATTCCTCCCTGGGCTGGTTTTTTGGGAGGTTTTTTGGTGTGGGGGTTTTTTGGTGTGGGTGCCCCATTAGTTCACCTGCCCCCTCTCACTATCCCCTGAAACGTTGGATTTCCTCCTGAGCTTGTTGATGCCCCCCATATGTTTAGGGAAGCTGTTAACATTTGATTTACTTTAATATTCTGCTGGAAGCCGCCCAGAGTGGCTGGGGAAAGCCAGCCAGATGGGCGGGGTATGAATAATATATTATTATTATTATTATTATTATTATTATTATTATTATTATTATTATTATTTGTAACCTTATTTTGGTTGCAGTTCTGTCAGCTCTCGTCAGCTGAGTTTGCTACAAGAGCGAATGATCGGGAAAGTATACAGTGATACCTTGGGTTACATACACCTCGGGTTACGGATACTTCAGGTTACAGACTCCGCTAACCTCGGGTTAAGTACCTCGGGTTAAGAACTTTGCCCCAGGATGAGAACAGAAATCATGTGCCGGCGGCGCAACGGCAGCGGGAGGCCCCATTAGCTAAAGTGGTGCTTCAGGTTAAGAACAGTTTCAGGTAAAGAACGGACCTCTGGAACGAATTAAGTTCGTAACCAGAGGTATCACTGTAAATCCATTCTCATTTGGAAGGTATTCTTGAAAAGTATTGCAAAGTGTCAAAAAGTGCATTCTGCATGCATATATCTTTTTAGATCCTTTAATAATAAATAATAATAATAATAATAAATTATTATTTATACCCCGCCTATCTGGCTGGGTTTCCCCAGCCACTCTGGGCGGCTTCCAACAAAATATTAAAATACAGTCATCCATCAAACATTAAAAGCTTCCCTTTCTGAGCTTTTGGAAGATACGACTGAGTTTATTATTCGGTCTCCCTTAATTTCACTTTTTCTGGCAATCCTGTCCATTCCCTTTCAACTACCTGCTAAGTATTTGCAGGAGAAAATATACCTACTTGCAGCAAGGAGAGTGAGAGAAGATAATGAAACCCACTTTTCTGAGAATATATAAATGAAATTAGAAATTGATCGCTGTTTGAAAATCACGTATGTCTCCTCTCATCCCTTAGACACTCTGCCATCAGAACTGGGGACAGAATGGGGTAAGCAACTGATGAAAACATTTGCAAGAAAAGTTAATTCATTTGTGTTTGGTTCTGGAAAGAAATAGTTGATACGGAGAGGTCTGAACTTTACTGGATCAGTTTGATTGCGACAGATAAATCTTGAGGTGCCGTTGTTAATGTTGTCATCATCACCATTGTCAACATCATTAAATTTATTGCCTGCCCTTCACCAGCAGGTTCCATATCAAAAATAGCTTAAACAAAGGAATGGGCAGGGGTGGGGGGCTTCTGAAAGAATACATCTCATTTGTCAAATGAGCAGTGTACCACAGGCTCCTAAACTACAGCCAGTGTGGTGTAGTGGTTAAGAGTGGTAGACTCGTAATCTGGTGAACCAGGTTCGCTTCCCCACTCCTCCACATGCAGCTGCTGGGTGACCTTGGGCCAGTCACACTTCTCTGAAGTCTCTCCGCCCCACTCACCTCACAGAGTGTTTGTTGTGGGGGAGGAAGGGAAAGGAGATTGTTAGCCGCTTTGAGACTCCTTAGGGTAGTGATAAAGCGGGATATCAAATCCAAATCTAAATCCAATTTGGAATTAGCTGACAAAAATATAAACTGTTCCTTTATCCCACATATTCTCTCTCTCTCTCTCTCTCTCTTTGCAGTCAACATAACCCTTGACACAGACACAGCAAACCCCCAAATCATAATCTCCGAGGATCGAAAAAGTGCGAGATGGGACGTCACCAGGACAGATGTGCCCCATAACCCTAAGCGATTTAAGTCCTCTTGCTGCGTGCTGGGCTGCGAAGGATTCACTTCCGGGAGACATTACTGGGAAGTCAACGTGGAGGATGGGGGCATTTGGGCTGTGGGGGTAGCCCGGGCCTCTGTGAGGAGGAAGATAGAGCTCAAGCTGACCCCGGAGGAAGGGATCTGGGCCTTGCAAGGGGATTTTGGTCAATACCAGGCTCTCACTACCCCTGTGACACCTCTGTCCCCCCTCTGCACCCCTAGGAGAATCCGAGTATTTCTGGACTATGAAAGGGAACAGGTGGAATTTCTTAACGCTGACACAAAGGACTCTGTCTTCATATTCCTATCGGCTTCATTCTCTGGTGAGAGAGTTTTCCCCTTTTTTAAGGTGCTGCTTGCCCAGCTGACACTCGATGGCTGATGGGTCCCTCACTCAAGATCACTTAAGGCAGAATAGTTCCTTCTTAATGCCGCTATTCAAGTCCACTACATTGTACTTGAAATTAGGAGGGGTAAAAGCTGGAGTAGACCTGCCCTTCCAATGCATGCTGATGAACGGTTATGATTAATCCACACGATTGGTTGCCAAGCACAGCACCCCCATCACTTGGTGGTGCTCCTTACTCCAGATTCACGGAGATCGCAAGGGTGCAATTTTTTTGCATGCGGCATTATACATGGATGGTGCCAAAGTAATGTTCAGGCTAGAGTGGGTTCAAAACACTGGGCTTCCATAAAATAGGAGGTCGCCGTTTGTGTGTGTGGATGCAGAGAGGGTCTTTGTCCAATCACTCAACGCAGCGCCAGTTCTTATCACAAAAGTCACTGTTGTAGCAAGAACTTGAGTTTGCCAATGAACTATATAGCCCTTCTCTGAAACTACCTTCACCAAAGACACATTAAGTGGAGAATAGTTGGCTGCTTGGTTTTCCTATGTTGCTGCATTAAAGATGTGTTGTTGTTGTTGTTGTTCATGACAATGTTGATGTTTCAATGTATTTAATTGTGTAAACCGCCTCCTATGCCCATAGACAGACGAGCGGGATAAAAATAATAAAGTCAAATGAAGTAGTAATGAAGAACAGAATACTTTCGATTCCGACTGGCTGAAGCCCCGCTCTGCCCCACACTTTCTTCTGCAAAGCATGCCTTTACTTTGCCCCCCAGGAACAGATTTTGAATGGTTTGTGTCATTGTGTAAAATGAGAATAAATACTGGTCTCTCGTCCATTATTGTTGTGAGGTAAATAAACGAGGACACCAATAAAATACCACATGCAGCTAATGAGATCGAATCTTTTATTATTCTTTGGCAAAGAGTGGGAAGGTAGAGGAAAGAGGAAGTACAGTAGTGCCCCGCAAGATGAATGCCTCGCAAGACGGAAAACCCGCTAGACGAAAGGGTTTTCCGTTTTGGAGGTGCTTCGCAAAACTAATTTCCTATGGGCTTGCTTCGCAAGACGAAAATGTCTTGCGAGTTCCTGCAGGGTTTTTTTCCTCCCCCCCCCCTTTCCCCAAGCCGCTAAGCTGCTTATCAGCTGATCCACTAAGCCGCTTAACAGCTTAGCCGCTAAGCCGCTTAACAGCTGATCGCTAAGCCACTTATCAGCTGATCCGCTAAGCCCGCTAATAGCGCTAAGCCGCTAATGGGCTTGCTTTGCAAGACGAAAAAACCGCAAGACGAAGAGACTCGCGGAATTTTCATCTTGCGAGGCACCACTGTAATGGGTGCAATCCTGTTGTCATGCTGGAGGAATAGTCTTCAGAGGAGTGAACATTATGGAGGAACAGGTGGTCTGGGGACGGTGAGACAGATCAGGGCCTTCTGGGGTTGCTGCGCTCCAGCCTCCTACACGGAGACGGCCCTGGCTCAGAATTAGAGATGGAAGCTGAGCCATCTCCAAGCCCCAAAGAGCACCGGCTACTATGGGCGCAAGCCCATTCCACTGCCTGATGCCAGAGCGCCTGCCTGAAGGCCAAGGTCTCTGGAGGAGTAGAGGGCTATGCCTCATGAGTAGACCAAGCTCCTCAAGCAACATAGATCACTTGCTCCTGGGCTAAGGGTGATGCTCTTCAGCTCCAGACAGAGCGCTGGAACAACATGGTTAGAGGTTCTTGGACCACATTCACACCATACATTTAAAACACATGTGATACCACTTTAAACCATCATGGCTCCCCCCCAAAAAAAAAGCATTCTGGGGGCTGCAGTTTCTTAAGGGTGCTGAGAGTTGTTAAAGGTAAAAAAGGGACCCCTGACCATTAGGTCCAGTCGTGGCCGACTCTGGGGTTGTGGCGCTCATCTCGCTTTATTGGCCGAGGGAGCCGGCGTACAGCTTCCGGGTCATGTGGCCAGCATGACTAAGCCGCTTCTGGTGAACCAGAGCAACGCACGGAAACACTGTTTACCTTCCTGCCGGAGCGGTACCTATTTATCTACTTGCACTTTGATGTGCTTTTGAACTGCTAGGTTGGCAGGAGCAGGGACCAAGCAACGGGAGCTCATCCCGTCACAGGGATTCGAACCGCCGACCTTCTGATCAGCAAGTCCTAGGCTCTGTGGTTTAACCCACAGCGCCACCCGCGTCCCTTTGAGAGTTGTTAGGAGGCCCCTATTTCCCTTACTGAGCTACGATTCTCAGAGTGGTTTAACAATCGAACTCTTCACAGGGAACTGTAGCTCTAGTCCAACCCCCTGCTATGCAGGAATCTTCTGTCCAGTGTTGGGGCTTGAACCCACAACCCTGAGATAAAGACACCCCTGCATTGCAGGGGGCTGGACTAGATGACCTAGGGGACCCCTTCCAACTCTACAATTCTACGAGTCTATTCTGTGATGATTCCAAGAGCCCCATGCTCTATGGACTGATTTGCGAAGCAGTCAAGAACTTAAAAGCCGTGTCTTTGTCACCTATAAGCAGTGCTTTTTTTCCTTAAATAAAAATGTTGGGGGGGGTACTCTCTTTTTGACTCAAGGAAATCACCATGTTATAGTTCAAATCGGGGAAAATAAAGACAGTAAATGGACAAAAGTACAAGGATTCAGAAAACGTTTAGGGGTATGTGTCCCCCCAGGAAAAAAGCACTGACTATAAGAACACGAGCTTTGATAGTCTCTTGAGCAGCCTGAGTCAGTTCAAAGCAATTTCGCAGAGGAACAGGGCTGGGTTTAGGTTTGATGAGGCCCTAAGTTAATGAAGGTATTGGGGCTCTTTATATGTCCAGCTGTCCTTTGTCAAAAACAAATTGTCGCTGTTCTTTGTGTTGGATATAGGCTGTGTAGTAATTTGTGGACCTAATAGGTATCTAAGCCATTTGCACATGTTGCCACGCAACCAGTCCATGCAGTTGAAACTCAGAAAATTAGAATATCGTGGAAAAGTTCATTTATTTCAGTAATTCAACTTAAAAGGTGAAACTAATATATGAGATAGACTCACAACATGCAAAGCGAGATATGTCAAGCCTTTATTTGTTATAATTGTGATGATCATGGCATACAGCTGATGAAAACCCCAAATTAACAACCTTTTAAGCTGAATTACTGAAATAAACGAACTTCTCCACGATATTCTAATTTTCCGAGTTTCACCTGTATAGAGAAATGAGCAAACCAGTGATATTTTAGGGAGCAGGATAGCTACTTACATCCTAGGAGCCTACACAACACAAAACACTGCAGCTGTGGGGAGGTTTTATTTCCTTTGTTTTTTATCTTATATTTTGGAAATGTACATCCAGGTTTTTTTCCCTTTAAATTTTTTTGTGGTCCCCCAAGAGAGTGGAGCCCTAAGCTATATAGCTTGTTTAGCTGATAGTACGTAAATCCGGCACTGCAGAGGCGTAACGTTTGCGCATTTTGGGGAAATTGCGCATTTTTAAAGTGCATTTGCTGAACTCCAGCTCCCATCAGCCCCTGCTCAGCAGGGCCGATGCTCAGGGATGCTGGGAGTTGTGGTCCGGGCATCCGATTGCGGCGGAGGGTGGGGGTGGAGGAGTCCTTTCCCCCTCCCCGCTCCATCCTTGCGCAATGTTTTGCCCGGGTCTCTGGCCCCCGCGCAGCCAATGCGGCTCCCGCAGGAAGCCACGTGGAGCCTCCCCAGTCCTCCCCCCACGGGCCGCCCCCTTTCTCCTCCCCCTCCTCCTCCTCCTGCCATCGCCGGGCAGCCATGGCCACCGAGAGCCCCCTGGAAACTCTGCAGCGGGAGATCACCTGCTCCATCTGCCTGAGCTACTTCAAGGAGCCCGTGTCCATCGAGTGCGGCCACAACTTCTGCCAGGCCTGCATCGCGCAGTGCTGGGGCAAGGCGGACGCCGAGACCACCTCGTGCCCGCAGTGCCGCCGCTGGTCGCGCAAGAGGAGCTTCAGGCCCAACCGGGAGCTGGGCAACGTGGTGGAGGTGGCCAAGCGGCTCCGGCTGGACGCGGCCGCCACGCTGGCCGGCCAGCGGCTGTGCGAGAAGCACCAGGAGCCCCTCAAGCTCTTCTGCGAGGAGGACGAGACGCCCGTCTGCGTCATCTGCAGGGAGTCCCGGGCGCACAAAGCCCACCCCATGCTCCCCATCGAGGAGGCGGCGCAGGACTACAAGGTGACGGCCGGCTGGCTGGGGGGCGGCAGAAATGGGGAGGCAAAAGCAGCCCACCGCCCTGTTCCCCATAATCATAATAATACAGTGGTACCTCGGGTTAAGAACTTAATTGGAAGCAAAAATGGGGAGAAAATGGGGAGGCAAAAGCAGCCCACCGCCCTGTTCCCCATAATAATAATAATACTACAGTGGTACCTCGGGTTAAGAATGGGCGGGGTATAAATAATAAATTATTATTATCATTATTAAAGGATCTAAAAATATATGCACACAGAATGCGCTTTTTGATACTTTGCAATACTTTTCAAAAATACCTTCCAAATGAGATTGGATTTACAGTGGTACCTCTTCACTTGAAACTGTTCTTAACCTGAGGTACTACTTTAGCTAATGGGGCCTCCCGCCGCCACGCAATTTCTGTTCTCATCCTGAAGCAAAGTTCTTAACCTGAGGTACTATTGCTGGGTTAGCGGAGTCTGTAACCTGAAGCGTATGTAACCCGAGGTACTACTGGAATATAATATAATAATAATAATAATAATAATAATAATAATAATTAATAAACCTTGCTCATCTGGCTGGGTTTCCTCATCTACTCTGGGTGGCATCCAGCAAAATATTAAAATTCAATGCTTATTCCGTTATTCCTGCATGGCAGGGGTTTGGGTTAGATCAGGCATGTCCAAAGTCCATTTCGGGGGGCCTAATGTGGCCCGCCGGTTGGTTTAATCCAGGGGCCCCTGTGGCAGTTTATTTCCTGGGGTAAAATCCTAAAAAAAGCAACTTCAACCCTAAAAAAAGGTCAGCAACTTTAGTTGGCCCTCACGGCCCTTCACTTCATCAAATCTGGCCCTCTTTGAAAAAAGTTTGGACACCACTGGGCTAGATTGTCCTCAGGGTCCTTTCCAAGTCTTGGTTTCTATGGCGATCCTCTGCTTAGTCATGCACACCAGGCGCGGCAGCCTTGAGTCTTCTGCTTAGCATGTTTTTTTGTTCTTACCGGAGCACCCAAGCTGTGCCAGCCGCAGCTAGATGGGAAGGATATGCAGGTAGAAGTAAAGTTTCCGGGGTGGTGGGGTGGGGGAGCATGTTTGGATGTGTTGCAGAAAAACCAGGAAGGGTCTTGGGTACCTGAAAGATGACCAAATTAATGACGTGCATGACTTCTCGAAAACTACGGCCTCAGGTCCGACCTCACAATCCCTCACTTGTCCACACACACGACACCTGATAATCTCACTCTGGCCATCTGATGACGTGGTCCACAAAAGCTTGTGCAATAATTAAGGCAGGTTTGGGGAACCTTTGGCCTTCCAGATGTTGCGGAATGGCAATCTATGGCTAGGGGAGATGGGAGCTGTAGTTCCGCAAACATCTGGAGGGCCATAGGTTCCCAAAACCTGCTTTAAGCTGCTATTAGATTCTTTGTCGTTCTTTGTTTCTGGATATGTTTTCCTGAGCGCTGACTTCTATCTTCTGACTTCTGTCGTGTGATTATGTTATAAAGTAGTTGTGCTCTGTGATACAAATCAAGCACTGCTAGGAGTTGTTTCTTTTTTGTTTCCCAGTATATTTCTTACCAAATAGAAAATTAGGTGTGGTGTAAGGAAATTTTTATTCTGCAAACGTGGCCCAGCGAAAAAGGTTTGAGAAGCACAGCTGGGCTAGCAGTTTACTCTTGAGTCTCTGTGGCTCAAATCTGTCTCAGATCTCTCTCACAGCAAGCAATTTCCAGTCTCCTCTTTCCCCTGGTAACAGTCTTGTTCAGTGTTTTGCATTTGCATCACCTTTCTCCCAGTTCTGTGTTCGGAGGAATGAGAGTGGGAGACCCACTTATCCAAGGATGTGATGAATCACCCTGGTACAAGATAAGAGAGATCACCAGCTGCAGCTTCGTACTCCCGGCAGCTTCATTGGGGGGGGGTGAGGGGAAGAGATAAATCCTTTTATGTCCAGCTTACACATAACAAACCATTTCCTTAACATGGGTCCCTTCCAACTGAAAAACATGGAGGGGGTGGAAGATTCTCTAGACAGGATGCACAGCTCCCTCTGTAACATTCAGTCTTCCCAGTCTTTGACAGATCCTCTGAAAGGGGTCAAGGAACAGAACATTTCAGGCCAAAGCCATCTTCACTTCCCAGTTTGTTGCTGTTTTGTCCTATTGCTTCTTTGTCTGGTGTACATACGTCAGTTCTGAGACTTAACGTGTGCAGTTACTATGGGTTGTTTTGGTGCGTTAAACAGCTGATTACACTGTTTGATATCTTACATCTGTCTCCCCCCCCCCTTTTATAAAATTTCTATACAGTGGTACCTCAGGTTAAGTACTTAATTTGTTCCGGAGGTCCATTCTTAACCTGAAACTGTTCTTAACCTGAAGCACCACTTTAGCTAATGGGGCCTCCTGCTGCCGCTGCGTGATTTCTGTTCTCATCCTGAAGCAAAGTTCTTAACCTGAAGCACTATTTCTGGGTTAGCGGAGTCTGTAACCTGAAGTGTATGTAACCCGAGGTACCACTGTACAGCCTTGTCTGGTGGAAAGCTGAGCTGAAATTCTTTTCAAAAATTAATCCATTTTGAAAATAATTGACTAGTGATAAGCCTGAAATTTGTGTGGAGTTTGGGGCAGATCAGTGACAGCTGGAGAATCAAACACAACAAGCAAATACAGTCGTACCTTGGAAGTCCAACGGAATCCATTCCGGAAGGCCTATCGACTTCCAAAACGTTCAGAAACCAAAGCATGGGTTCTGATTGCCTGCAGGAAGGTCCTGCAGCCAATTAGAAGCCCCGTCGGACGTTAGGCTTCCAAAAATAGTTCACGAACCGGAACAGTCACTTCCACGTTTGCATTGTTCGGGAGCCAAAACGTTTGAGAACTAAACTGTTTGAAAAGCAAAGCACAACTGTACATGACTTGCCTTATGACTTAGGCCATGATTTGAATAGCATTTAGAATGATCTTCCTAAAATGGAAATTGCAGAATGCCCCCCAAAAGTATACATTTCCTACAAGAGACACAAGACTTTTGATTCCCGAGTATGCTGAAGCCATCCCATAAATTAAAAAATGGCTGGAGTACTCTGCGCTAGGGGGAAGTAAGTTGGCTAAGCAGAAAGTCAAGTGACTTATCACAACATACATGAGAAAAAGGGTATGTACATTACTTTCAGATTTCTCTTTTGTCAGAAACAAGTTGCCGCCCATGTGAAAGTTCTGACAGAACGGAGGGAGAAGCTGAAGGAATTGAAAGAAGACCTGGAGTGCAGAAGGCAGGCTGATCAGGTGAGAGCTTGTCTACAAGAAGGACCAGGAGTGGGGGAAATTGTGATGAGGGTTTCCTAGAAAATTTTGAATTGCAAATTAGGGTAATTTGCATCAGAAGATTTTCAGTCCACTGTGGAAAACCCAAGAGGGTGGTCTAACTTAGGAAGTCTATTTCAGCTGTGTTTAGTAAACAAAGCAGAAAACTTTGAAACTTCCCAGGTTGCCTAATGTTTGTATTTGCAAATGGCACCCGTTCATTGTTACGAATGAACTTATGAAACAGATTTTTTCCCCCCTGTGGTGAAGAAAGCACTGGGGGGGAAAACTGTTTTGGAGAAATTTCAAGGGAAATTTCTCTGCACCACCTCACTGGAGAAAGAGAAGACTGTTTCTTCAGGTGTTGAAGGAGGCAGGTGCCTTAATAAACTGGATCAAATTTCTCTTACATGTCATGAACCATTATCTGTTCAGTCTGTTTGTACCTATGACTCAGTTAGACTGAACCTGTCATCTCCATCGACTTGGCACAGTGGTACAGAAGGTCTTTCATCTCCAGTATGTCCCCTGGCTGAAATGCCAGAGACCCAACTGCTGGTCAGTGTGGACAATGTTGAGCTAGTCTAACCAATAGTCTGACTCTCTGAAACAATGGAAACTGCCTTACGTTATATTCCTTTGAGCAGGTACCCAACCCTGGTTACGGTACCAATGTGAGAGCATCAGGGATATTTGTACGTCCACTTCCTTGTCATAGCTGTCAAGCGTCCCTTATTTGGAGGGACAGTCCCTTATCCCAACGCCATATCCCGCTGCTGTCCCTTATTGATGGATGTCCCTTAAATTTCCCAGGTTTCAAAGGAAGCAGCTCCTCTCCCACCCTCCTTGCCAGCCAGGGAGGAGGGAGGCTCCAACTGTGTTGCTTGGCAGCCCGCCCCACCCCCCTCCGGCCTCCTGTCACCAGCCTCGGCCCCTGGGAGCCCCTCCCCGCCAGGACTGGCGGGAGCCTCAGGCCCTTCTGCCGCCATCCTCCTCGCGGTCGCCGAACTGAGCATCTCTGTCTGGGGCCTCCCCTCTGCCCGTTGCCGCTGCTCCTGCTCCCGTTAGGCCGTACTGCGGCTGTGCCGCCAAAGGACCCGGATGAGATGGGCAGCTTGGCATGGCCTGTGAATTGCTGAGGAGCCTTGAGAGGAGAGCAAGGGCAACACTAGAGAAAGCAGTTTAGAGAGAGGGGGAAGAGGAGGAGGCGGGGGCGCGGGCAGGTGTTCCAAGGGCTACAAGGGAAGGACCACAAACACTTCTCCCATAGATTTGTAGTGGTAGACTAGCATAGATGGTCTGATCTGCGGGTTTACTTCGGGCGCTATTTGCCCCCCCCCTCCCGCCCCACTTGATGGAATTGAGAGCTGCAGATGGAGTACGAGAGGAAAGACACAGAACTGCAGCAGCATCTTTGTAGCTTGGACTTCGTTTTGCGCGAAAAGTGGTTGCTGTTTGTAGTTATTTAATTGCAGTGTTTCATCAGCTGGTGTCTTGAGCAGCAACCTCTGGAAACGAAGGGCTAAAAACCGGCGCTGTTCTCCAAAATTATCTGGTCCCTTTTAACTTTGTATTTCAGCTGGTAGACTAAAATCCCTTATTTTGGCTGCTGGTCCCTTATTTTCAAGGCTGCTGGTCCCTTATTTTCAAATCTGTAAGTTGACAGCTATGTTCCTTGTGCTGTTTCACCATCCCGGCTGGCCCTTCTCCTGCTCCTTACAGGATGATGTACAAAGTGAGAAGCAGAAGGTGGAGTCTGAATTTAATCAGATCCACGAGTTCATGGAAAAAATTGAGCGTTTCCTGGTTATCATGCTGAAGAAGTTTGACAAGGAGATCGTGCACAGGAGAGACGTGGAATCCAGCAGGTTCTCAGGGGAGATTGATCGCCTCGATGCCTTGATCAGCGAAGTTGAGAACAAGTGCCAACAGCCTGCCAGTGAATTCCTGCAGGTGAGATTCTCTGGAGGGCTGCTTGCCTCTCCTGGGTTTCAGCACTAAAGCCCAAAATGCAGAAACAGCCACCTGAAAAGAAAAGAGGTGCCATACCTTGTTTCATTTGTGTTGCATGCACTGAAACTTCCTTGGTTTGTGACATTTGCTAGGAGAGGGATTTGAGGAGTCCAACCCTGCTCGTTCTCCTTTTTATATATATATTTAAATTTTTATTGATACAGCAAGAAAAAGAAAAAACACAAATACCAAATTACACACAAGAATAACCATAGACACATAATTTTCTTAACAAACAATAAAACATACATTGGTCTTAACACTAAAGACCCAACCTCCCGTCTATTCCATATTTCGATTTCATATTATTTATTGCCAATACACACTTTTATCATATTAAACTTTTTCTTAATATATCTAATTTCTTATATCTACCTTGCAACTATTACTGAAGTTCCCCGAATGCTGCAACAGAATTTAACTACTATATTTATTTTTCAAATATTCTTTGAAAACCTCCCATTTTGAAACAAATTCCTGCTCATTCTCCTTGATCGCTCAATGGTTTTTGGATACTGTTGACCATGGTATCCTTCTGGAGCCGTGGTTCCCACAAGGGGGCAATTTGATTTTGATTTTTTGATTTTTTTAATAATATTTTATTAAGTTTCCATTTCATAATATATAAACACATCCATATTGCTCACAATAAATTTTTGCTTGTTTGAGCTGTTCAAGCCCCCAGCCTTGTGGCTAGCATAATTCCTATCTATTTCATTGCATTTGTACCTCTTCCTCCTTACATTTCATCCATTTCAATTTTTTACATTTTAAATAAACATAAAAAGGTATAAATCACAAACATTACAAGTCTTCTTAAGTCAATCCTGCTAGTGTTGTTAATTGTTTGCAATTGTCTTTCAAATAATGTATAAATTTACTCCAGTCTTTTTGGACTTTCCCGGTCAGCTTCGCTAGTTGTGCATATTCCATTTTTAAGGGGGGAAATTTGATTTTTAAGGGGGGCAATTGGAGCTTGTTTAGACCAAGTTAATGGCCTTTTAGGCTTCCTCCATGTGAATAGGAGTTCGCTTTTTGAATACTAAGAATTATATGTCACCCGGGGGCAGGGGTGGGCAATCAGGATTTTAGAGATGCCTAGGTGGGGCATGGCCAAAAAAAGGTTGGGAACCACTGAGTCTCAGGGAGGTCGGCATTTTGGGCAATGTGCTTAAGTGTTTCCACTCCTACCTCCAGAAAGTAGCCATGGGAGGCTGTTGTTCAGTGCCAGACATCAGCGCAACTCTGCGCACCTGCGACTCCCAGCAATTGGCACCCAGGGGCATGATGCCTCTGGCAGTGAAGGTAAAACACAGCCATCTTGGCTGGTAGGCATTGGTAGCCTTGTTCTCCGCAAATTTGTCTAATCTTCTTTTAACTCCATCACTGTGCCCTGTGGGAGGGAGTATTTGGTTACCGGACGTCCCCGTTTCCTGGGGAAAGTCCCTGGTTTTATAAATCGGTCCCTGGGCAAAATCCGTCCCCAGAATGTCTCCAGATTTCATTTAATGGCTCTGCATTTACCGTATTTTTCGCCCTATAGGACACACTTTTTCCCCTCCAAAAATGAAGGGGAAATGTGTGTGCGTCCTATGGGGCGAATGCAGGCTTTCGCTGAAGCCTGGAGAGCGAGAGGGGTCGGTGCGCACCGAACCCTCTCGCTCTCCAGGCGTCAGGAGAGCCCCGTCAGCAGCCCTGCAAACTTGGGGGACAGCGGGAGGCGCAGCACGCCTTTCCCGCTGCCCCCCGACTTGGTTAGAACGCTGGCGGAGGGCTTTCCCCTCCTCCAGCCCCGCAAGCTCCCAGAGCGATGCCAAAGCTGCACGCAGCTTCGGCATCGCTCTAGGTCCTGTTCTGGGGGCTGGAGCTTCCCCAGCCCCGCGCCTGGGGGGGGGGAAATAAATTTTTCCCTTTATTTCCCCCCCCAAAAATCTAGGTGCGTCCTATGGGCCGGTGCGTCATATAGGGCGAAAAATACGGTATATTTTAAGTGTTGTAGATTGATTAGTAGGGAATGAATGTTGCCTGGTTGGTTCAATGGCACAAGACACATCATATGGGGAATTCCAGTGTGGCAAAATGGCAGGCGCCACGGCAGCAGGCAGGTCCTGAAGCCAGCCAGAACCAGCTGTGCTACCAGGCTGGCTCCGGGCTGCTGAGACTGCCGCTGCCGAGGGGGGACTGGGGATGTCTGGCGCATCAACTAGGGGAACTGCTGACTCCCAAATCGAGCCCGGAGCGAGAGCGCCTTGCCACCCGGCCGACTGTCCAATGGTGCTCTGGGGCCAGGAAAACCCCAGAGCCGACGCAGGGAGAAGGAGGAGAGGAGAAGGAGAAGGAAGAGAGAGAGAAAGAGGAAGGAGAAGAAAGAGGGGAGCCCTGACCTTGCTGCCCTGCTGCCGCCACCACCGCTGAGGAGAGGTAGGAGAGCACCAGGAGGGCAAGGGCACTTGACCGAGCCCAGGCCTGGCCTGAGCCTACTCCATGGCAGCTAGCGCTCCCAAGAGAGCAGGCCGGGGCCTAGAGGAAGGCTGCGCGACAGAGGAGAATATAGAAGAGAAGATATTGCTTCTTTTTAAAAAAAATTCTTTGAAAAAAAGCTGGTAACCTTAAGGGAGTACCATTGTTTTCTATGAGCTGTGTGAAGAAGCACTTCCTTTCCCCTGCCCTGCATTTTCATTTAATGCCCACAAGTTCCTCATTCAGCTTTACAACCTTGCAAGTTAAGTCCCTTTTTATTTGGCCAGCAGACTGAAACTCTGAGGTCTTAACAAAAATACCCAGTGACTCTTGTGGCAGAAGTGGATTTTAAATACTTATTCTATAACAAATATTTGTGCTCTTTCCATTTGCTTCCTAATTTCTAAGCCTTTCAGCCAATATTTATGGCATAATAAATGTGAGAATGATCTTCTTGTTCTTTTCTTCCCTTGCCTCCAGGACATCAGGAACATTTTGAGCAGGTAGGTAGCACTTTTGCAAGTCTCACTTTTTATCGGCATAAGAAAAACTGAGAAAGCTTTCCTCAAATCCATTCTAATCAAAACCTAGCTTATCCCTGCCTCTTTGGCCCCTCCAAACACAGTAATTCCACATTTTCTCCCCCTTCCTGTCCCAGGGCCATATGTGCAAAGCTTACCCTTTTGTGGCATAGGGGTACTACATCAAAACAAGCTTTCCACATTCCCTAAGCGGTGGAACTTTCCCAGCAGAAGTTAGAATGTTTACGAACATTCTGTAACATCACAACATCGCAGTTTGGGAAAGGGGGCTTGCAGCTCTTAAATGCTCTCACCACACATGGAAAATGCTGGGACCACAATGTAATGCTTTCATGTTTCCCATTCTAGATGTAAAGAAGGACAGATTTCACAGATGGCGGAAATTGCTTCCTCTCCGACTGAGCTGGAAAAGAAACTTGGGCATTTCAGTCTGAAAAATATTGTTATCAAGGAGGCACTGGAGAAATGTCGAGGTAAGGACAAAGGATAGCTTAGGACCGTGTAAAATACATGAGAATCTCCATACTTTGGGCTGAATTTCCGTACATCTAATGTTCTCTGTCCACTAGTGCAAATTGCATGATCTGTTCTGCAACACAGTTAACAGCAACCTGCTGGTGCATTCTGCTGGTGCGAAAGATTTCACCAGTGGAGCAAGTATACTTCTAAGTGACTTTAACTTAGTGCTATGTGGGATACAACTTCCTTTTGTCTTCAGATCCAACAATGCAGTTCGCAGACATGTGGACATGAGCAATGCGGTTTCTGCTTGAAAAAAAGTACCAATTTTATGTCCAGTAAATATATGATTGGGACGCGGGTGGCGCTGTGGGTTAAACCACAGAGCCTAGGACTTGCCGATCAGAAGGTTGGCGGTTCGAATCCCTGCAACGGGGTGAGCTCCCGTTACTTGGTCCCTGCTCCTGCCAACCTAGCAGTTCTAAAGCACGTCAAAATGCAAGTAGATAAATGGGTACCGCTCCAGCGGGAAGGTAAACGGCGTTTCCGTGTGCTGCTCTGGTTTGCCAGAAGCGGCTTAGTCATGCTGGCCACATGACCCGGAAGCTGTATGCTGGCTCCCTTGGCCAATAAAGCGAGATGAGCACCGCAACCCCAGAGTCGGTCACGACTGGACCTAATGGTCAGGGGTCCCTTTACCTTTAAATATATGATTGGTTGAAAGCAAGTAATGTGGTAGGAGCAAGAGCGGTGGAGAGGTGGGTGGAGAAGAAGAACAGAAATGGAGTTTTTAGGCAAGAGCCATGAAAGGGCTGTGCAGAGCACTTCAGCACTGTGTTGTCTCCTAAGTACCATGCTTATTACTCGCACCTTATCCCCCTTTCACAGCTCATATAACACAGGAGACCTTGTTTTGGGGCATACACAAGCTTGCCCCCTTGGCCAGATCACCTATCACTCTGCTTATAGCAGCTACACCGATGCACATTATTTAATGGATGCGGGTGGCGCTGTGGGTTAAACCACAGAGCCTAGGACTTGCTGATCAGATGGTTGGCGGTTCGAATCCCTACGATGGGGTGAGCTCCCGTTGCATGGCCCCTGCTCCTGCCAACCTAGCAGTTCGAAAGCATGCCAGTGCAAGTAGATAAATAGGTACCGCTCCGGCGGGAAGGTAAACAGCGTTTCTGTGCGCTGCTCTGGTTTGCCAGAAGCGGCTTAGTCATGCTGGCCACATGACCCGGAAGCTGTACGCCAGCTCCCTCGGCCAGTAAAGCGAGATGAGCACCACAACCCCAGAGTCGGCCGCAACTGGACCTAATGGTCAGGGGTCCCTTTACCTTTACCTATAGAATACATTCTGTGATACACCTTTTTCCTCTCAGTAGCTAGAGCATGTCCATCAGCAGTCTGTGGCAGGTCACCTTCTGCTGATTCACCTGCTTTGTGGTTTCTGACTTTTCAACAGAGTGCTACTGCATATTTCCCCTGAAGCAGTTGTCTTGCACCCATGAGGGCTAGAAACTTGAAAAAGAACTATGGCAACAGGCATGCTTAAGCACCACTCTTAAGTACCAGCATCTGTAGCTCTCACAGCCTACCCAGTTTCCCCACTGAAGTGACATTACATAAAATAATTTCATCCCTTGCGCCACCAGCCTTTTCCTCGCCTCCTTACTGAGATCATATCCAATGCTTCACCTTTATTTAGTAGCAAGAGTAAATATTCCTGATTCTTAAACCCTTCTCTCTTTCTAGAGACAATGATATCTGAATTAGCAAAAGCAAGGACAATGGAAGCATCAGCTAAAAGGAGTAAGTTGTGGTTTTTTTGAAAAAAACCGGGATAGTCACTTTCTAAGAAGCTGAGAGCAATGTTGATTTGGGACCTCTTGTCCAACTCTGAGAAATGGCTTCGCATGGTGAGGGATGGTGGTATTTATGGCTTCATCCTGTACAGCAATAATTTCACAGGAAAAGGGGAGGGCCTAATTTCACAGGAATAATTTCACAGGAAAAGGGGGGTCACCTAACCCTCTTTGCTCCCCCCTTCTTTCCTTGCCTTCAGAGGGTGGAAGGAATCTGTCGCCATGACAACACACAGCCCAAGTCCTTATTGTGTGGGAAAGTAAACATAAGAAATTGTTGCTCTTGTCCATGACTTAGGACCTGGAGTTTGGAGATGTAGTATGTATCTGGGGATCCCTGAGATTTTTCCTAGCCCCCCCCCCTCAAATAAGTGGTCTTTCCACTTTAGAGCAGGAGAAAGTGAGGCTTTGTATTCTTGGGCCTCCCCATTGCTATTGCTGCTGCCACAATCCCATTAAAGGAGACTGCAGCTGGGCCGAAGATCATTTTCCAGACAAATGCTTCACTTATGGGATGCTATACATGTCAAATTCAGTCCTAGGCACCTCCAGTTATTAATATTGCTAATTATTATTCGTTTGTTGCATTTTTGCACTCGTGTGTCTCAGGGCGACTTGCCCAATAAAAATAGAAATAACAAACCAGGCACTAAAACAGCAATAAACAAAAGCTGAAATACATTTCAAGGGACAAATTGTACCCACCCTACTTAAAGGATGAGTACAGGAAATGCCAACCACCCTCCCAGTTAAAAATCAAAAATCAAAAGATATTGATGGTGCCAAGAGTGCTTCTCCAGGAAGAACATTTTAACTGGAAAGCCACCACAGAAAAGGCCCAGTTAAAAGATCAGGTAGCAAATGTTGCAAAAGCTCTTGGCCTGATTGCTGGTACCAGTCATGGTAGACATTATTGCTCTAGATATGCTGGCCCAAACACTCTCAGCTTCATGGTTGAGCAAGGATTTGTACCAAAGCCTTCTCAGTCCTAATCTAACACTGGTTAATACAAGGCAGGGGAATGTGTTGCCCTCAAGATGTTCCTGGACTCCAGCTCCCATCGGTCTCAGCCAGTGTGGCCAACAGCCAGGAATGCTGGGAGTTGTAGCCCAGTAATATTTGAAGAGCAACACCCACCCAAACCATTCTCTACCTGTGTTTCCCAAATTTGGGTCTCCAGCTGTTTTTGGACTACAACTCCCATCATCCCTAGCTAACAAGGCCAGTGGGCTGATGGGAATTGTAGTCCAAAAATAGCTGGAGACCCAAGTTTCGGAAACCCTTCTCTAACCATTACAATAGCCTGGCACTCTTTAATGGCCTGAAACTAGCCAGTTGACACAGGGCTTTTACCAGCTTCTTATTGTATGGAACTGGTAGTCATTCAGGTCAGTGGAGATTGGGGCCCAGATTGTAGCACTCTTGACAAAGTAACAACTTTGTTCTTTCCAGATTGATTGATTGATTGATTGATTGATAGATAATACCTCTAACAAGCCAGAATGGCTTAAGCAGTTTACAAATATGAAATCAAATATCCACAGGTACAGTGGTACCTCGGGTTAAGTACTTAATTCATTCCGGAGGTCCATTCTTAACCTGAAACTGTTCTTAACCTGAAGCACTGCTTTAGCTAATGGGGCCTCCCGCTGCCACTGTGCCACCGCTGCACGATTTCTGTTCTCATCCTGAAGCAAAGTTCATAACCCGAGGTACTAATTCTGGGTTAGTGGAGTCTGTAACCTGAAGCATATGTAACCTGAAACGTATGTAACCCGAGGTACCACTGTAATTAAAATGCACATTTAAAACAATTCCATCAAAAATTATTAAAAACATCCATAATCAAACAAGCTCATTAAAAGGTGTAATCATTAAACCAGTTAAATGAGCAGCCAAAACAATTAGATCAAGTGGTCTAAATTTTAATTCTTTTGTTTCCTTTTATTTCTTTTGAGACCCTGCTCTAGCTTGCATTGGGCTTTCCCGGATCTGATTGTAAAAACCCGTCTTTCCTTTTCGTCAAGCTCTTCTGATTGTTTTCCATTTGTCTGTTTCTCCTCAGTAAGCGTTACTCTTGATCCCGACACAGCTCATCCCCTCCTTGTGGTGAGCGAAGACAGGAAAAGTGTGAAACGTGGAGACATGGTTCAGCCGCTGCCCAACAACCCCGAGAGATTTGACTCCACTCTGATTCTCCTGGGCAGCGAGAGATTCGCCTCAGGGGTACATTACTGGGAGGTGGAGGTGGGTAATGGGCAGAACTGGGCCCTTGGCGTGGTCAAAGAGTCTGTGATAAGGAAGGGACCTGTTGTCACTTGCCCCAATGAAGGCATCTGGGCTTTGGGACTCTGCGGGAATGAGTACAGGGCTTTCACTTTAGCCGAGACTCGTCTGACCCTAGATGAAGCCCCGGAGAAAATCCAGGTATTTGTGCATTATGAAAGGGGTTGGGTGGCATTTTTTGACGCTGGTTATATGTCCCTCCTTTTTATTTTCCAGTCAGCTAATTTCTGTGGGGAGAGAATTTGTCCTTTCTTTAAATTGTGGGGCCTAACTACAGAGCTTAGAATGTGCCCCTGAAAATAGCCTCTGCAATATGTTGGTCCAGCTTGTTTTTGCAATTCCATTCCATTCATAATTTTGTACAGAAACACAGAAATTGGCAAAGAATTTTCATTTTGAAAGGATTTTGACTTAACTCCATGAAGAGAAGGAGCCTTCATTTGTGGAAGAAGAGTTCCATGAGCGCAAGCTCCTTCTATTCACAGCTAAAAAGTTAGGCTCAAAATCCGTTTTTTTAAAAAATAAGTAAAGGAGCAAGTTTCTTCCTGTCCCAAACCATTTTAATTTAAAAGAAAACAACTTCTAAGTTCACATAATTCTAGAGAGGGAGAAAGAGCATTTTGCATCATAAGAAACATTTAAGTGCAGGCTGAATATTATAAATACATTTCTATACACTTTTATATTGTATTATCTCAGCTAGCATTCATATTTCTACTTAACTTGCATTCTCACCATCCTCCCCACTGATCTTATTGGCTGGGGCTGAAAGGAGTCAAAGTCCGACATCTCAAGGGCCACAGGTGCCCACTCTGGATTTAAGCTATGGTTTGCTTAACAAGCCATGAGTTAATTGCAAGTTGCTTCATAGACAGACAAACCATGGCTTGTTTCTCCAGAGTTTGGTTTGCTTGCTAGTTGCTTTTGCCTCATTCCTTTGAAGCTTGGCAAGTGTCTGGGGTGGAATGGCCAAACAGTTCACAGTTAAGGAAGACTGTACTGGGTTCACATTTAACAGGAAGCCATAGTCAAAACAAACCAAGTTTCATAAGCCAGCCGCAAGCTCTGCTTTTAGATTGTGGTTCGTTGACAGTAAACACACTATTAAGGCTTTCTGTAGGGTTCACACATAATGCTCAGCCACGGTTTAATAAACGATAGTTTAGTCCGGTCATAAACCAGACCTTGCGTATGTATAGGAGTTTATTAAATACGCACTTGTTTGTTCCCTGCAATCCAGACATCTTCCCTCAGGGCAGTGTCTGTGCTGCAGGAATGCTTTCCCTCCCAACTCTCAGGCAGCAGTGCTTCTGTCACTTGGGAAACAAGATGCTTTGCTCCAGGCTAGCAAGTTTATGGTTAATAGAAGTGTGCTCTGTGGCGCTGGTCTTCAGCTGGTGGGTTGCGGCCCTATCTAAGGTGGGTCGCAAAAGGAGCACTACCTCCATGCCAATATATGGTTAAAGATTAAGAAGTGGGTCCCCGAATGTATGTTGCACTGAAAATTGGGTCCTGGGAATGAAAAGGTTGAAGATACCTGCTCTAAGGAACGTGGCTGTGTTTGACTTACTTGCACTGCATCCAATGGGTGGCCACTCGCATCAGCAGTGGTGACCAACGCAACACCTGCTTCTCCCATGTCAACACCGTCGGACGACCTTTCACATGCTGCTTATTACCAGTTTATGAAATAGATGCTGCTGTACCACTTCAGCATATGAGCACTTATCCTACCCCATTTATTTTATTGTTATTTGTTTCTTAAAAAGGAAGGCTTTCCCTTTTTCCATGTCACTGGCACGCTGGGGGTCATAGAATTGTAGGGTTGCAATCTAGTCCAAGCCCCTGCAATGCAAGAATGTCAACTCAATCGTTCAAGACACAATGACCACCCAAACTCTGCTTAATAGCCTCCAGGGAAGGAGAGTTCACCATCTCTTCTGGGAGTCTGTTCCACTGTCAAACAACTCTTCCTGCCAGAAAGTTATTCCCAACGTTTAGTCAGAATCTCCTTTCTTGGCAGCAAGTTGGCGGAAAGTGGTATGTATAACGCTTGCACCTTAGGAGCTTATGTAAATGAGTGCTTTGCTAATTGCTGAAATCCCAGTCACTTGTCCCCCTTGGTCTGGATTTGTGCGGGACATCTTAGTTATGTTCAAAATTGATAACATACTGCATTGAAATAGAATGAAGACTTGAAAGATGCAAAGATTAAAATGCAGTAGGTGTTCCCTACCTTGATGGATAAACCCAGAAAAGTAAGGAGGGTGTGCGGAGTAGTCCTTGGCTGTATTTTCACTGCATAGTTAAATGGTTATGGCTTTCCAGGATCCCTGGAATTTGTAGATTTTCCACAACAGAATTTGGAAATATCCATTCCCACCATCGGGATTCCTTGTGAGAACAGCACAGTGGCTAATCTAGCCTAGCTCAGGTTTACCAAAGCAGCCACAGCTTCAATCCGTAAACCAGATAAACTGGAGTCTTTGCTTTTAGGTTGTTATGTCCTTTGTTTTTACTGCGACAAAACAGGATTAAGGGGGATTTGCTGGATTATGGCTCCACGTCTTACACACTTACCTGGGAATAACTCCTCTCAAGCATAAGACTTGCTTCTTAGTAATCATGTATAGGATTGCACTGTTAAGTGATTTATAAATGGCTCCCATGCTGACACATCGGCACTTTTGGAAGATGTGTTTCTTTTTTGTTAAGGTTCAACAGATTTGCATATATTTTGATCCAGAAAACTGTCGTGTCATTGCATTAAAATTCCTTTTGTGAACAGAGAAGATTCTTGTGTTTTTTGTTTGTTTCTTGTGTAATAGGTGTATTCCAGTTGAAAAAAGCCCTGTGTAATAGCTTTTAAATAACCACACTACCCCTTTCCTCAATCTACTTATCAACTAGATCAGAGCGAGGTGGGGGTGGGGACACCTGTGTGTCCCTCCAAATGTTGCTGGACAGCAACTCTCCTCATCCCTGATCATTGGCCATGGTGGCTGAGGCTGTGGGAGTTGTAGTTCAGCAACATCTCGAGGGCCACAGGTTTACTGCAGTGATCTCTGCTGTGAAATTGTTCTGGTGTATGGGTCATAATGTGTGATTATCATATGTGGGCCACTCCCCTATGAAAAAATGGTTCAGCATTTGGGGCTTTTCAATTCAGAGAAAAGGAGAGTAAGAGGAGACATGATAGAGGTAAATAACATATTTTAAGTGGTGTTGAAGTAAATTATCTAAAAGTGAGAATAAATACATTGCACAAATACATAATTATTCATCTTTTTTTCCTTTCAGTTAATTCAAATAAAGAATAATTGTTTTTAAAAAATATAATGTCAGTTTGTCAAAGTGTTCTGTTATATATTCCCTAATAATACAGTGGTACCTCTGGATGCGAACGGGGTCTGTTCTGGAGCCCCGTTCGCATCCTGAGTAGAACGTAACACGCAACTGCGCGTGTGCACGGGTCGCGTTTCGCCGCTTCCGCGCATGTGCGTGATGTCATTTTGAGCGTCTGCGCATGCGCGAGCGGCAAAACCCGGAAGTAACGCGCTCAGTTACTTCCAGGTCGCCGCGGAGCACAACCCGAAAATGCTTAACCTGAAGCTACTTCAACCCAAGGTATGACTGTACATGTGGATTGACCGGTTCTTGACTTTTATCATTCCTATACTTGATAAACAAGCTCTATTCACAATGTCCTCCTTCAGCTGGCCTTCTCTCACCCTTATTGTTTGTCTGCTTAAGCCACTTCCCATACCTAAGAAAACCATGTCAATAGAACATGATCTGGGATTTTTTTCAGTGTTTCCTAGCTGTCTTTATTAAATGAACTACAATTTTCAGGTCTTCCTCCAGTATTACACCTCTAAAATAATCCAACCATGATCATTAATGGGTCCTTTGGAAGATACCTAAGGATATGGCTGGCCATTTCTGTGTCCTGGGTCATGCTACGGATTCTAAACCCTATTCACCAAAGCACCAGCACTACACAAATTTGAAAGGATTGTCTGGAGACCGCTGAATGCAATAAACAAAAGACATGAAATCTTTTATCCATATACTGATCTTTGAGAATTGCTGGTAAAATATGGGATGAATTAAGAATGTAGACCTTGACTCCAGCGTGAGCAACTGCAAATGGCTTAATAACAGTTGCACTACTATGGAGCATCCAGAGAGTATGTGGCTGGCCAAAGAGTTGACCTTGAGTCTCCCAGGTCTAAGTCCAATTCTACTGCCAGTTTTGCTGACTTAACACTAAAGCCTCCGGCTAAAGTTCAGTTAAGAATGGAGGCTGATAGTGCATACTAAGAGTTGATCCTGATCTCTTCCTGTGCCATTCTCATGTGGTCCAACTGTCCTCATTTGCCAGGGGAAATCGCTATTTTCTGAAGCCTAATTCTCATAAAACAGTCTCTATTTTGCCTCTGGGTTTGTTTTTTATTAGGTTATATGATTTTGTTGTTCTTTAGAAGGGAGGGAAACTCAAAGTGTTTGTGCGCTTGTTTGCTTGCTTAACATTCCCCCTATTTTAAAAATAACAGCAGCTGTCTGCGCCCCTCCAAGACTACAACCCCCCGCCTGAGTATCAGGAAGAGTGGATTAAATTTAATGATTACCTAGTTAAATATAAAAAAAATTCCTTCCAGTAGCACCTTAAAGACCAACTAAGTTAGTTCTTGGTATGAGCTTTCGTGTGCATGCACACTTCTTCAGATACACTGAAACAGAAGTTGCCAGATCCTTCTATATAGTGAGAAGGTGGGGAGGGGTATTACTCAGAAGGTTGGTGGGAATGGGTGATTGGCAGATAGCTGTGATGAGCCTGTTGACGACTCTTAACGACTGCAATAGGTCTTACAGGGAAAAGCAAGGGGTGAGAAGGTGAAAAATGGCTTTGTCATGTATAATGAGATAAGAATCCAATGTCTTTGTTCAGACCAGGTCTCTCCATGGTTTTAAGTTTGGTAATGAGTTGCAATTCAGCAGCTTCTCTTTCCAGTCTATTTCTGAAATTCCTTTGTAGTAAAACAGCTACTTTGAGATCTTGTATAGAATGTCCTGGGAGATTGAAGTGTTCTCCTACTGGTTTCTCTGTCTTGTGATTCTTGATGTCAGATTTATGTCCGTTTATTCTTTGGCGTAAGGTTTGGCCTGTTTGTCCAATATAGAGAGCTGAAGGACACTGTTGGCATTTGATGGCATACACAATGTTAGACGATGAGCAATTAAATAGTCCCGAGATGGTATGTGTGATGTTGTTGGGGCCAGTAATGGTGTTGTCCGGGTGTATGTGGCAGCAAAGTTGGCATCTGGGTTTATTGCAGGCTCTGGTGCCAGTGTCCGTGTTAAGTCTGGTTGTAGTATTATTGTGGGTTAGGAGTTGTTTGAGATTGGGTGGCTGTCTGTAGGCAATGAAAGGTCTTCCTCCCAGAGCTTGAGAAAGAGAACTGTCATTGTCCAGGAGAGGTTGTAGATCTCTGATGATGCGTTGTACTGTTTTAACTTGGGAGCTGTATGTGATGACTAGAGGTGTTCTGTTTAGAGTCGTTAAGAGTCGTCAACAGGCTCATCACAGCTATCTGCCTATCACCCATTCCCACCACCCTTCTGAGTAATACCCCTCCCCACCTTCTCACTATATAGAAGGATCTGGCAACTTCTGTTTCAGTGTATCTGAAGAAGTGTGCATGCACACGAAAGCTCATACCAAGAACTAACTTAGTTGGTCTTTAAGGTGCTACTGGAAGGAATTTTTTTTGTTTTGACTATGGCAGACCAACACGGCTACCTATCTGTAACTAGTTAAATATGTTAAGTTTAATTAACTGAAAACAGCTTGCAGATACTTAATTGGTTTAGTATTTTATTTATGTTAAGGGATGAATTAATATGTTTCATTTCATAATGTGAAGATTTAATGATGTTAATGTTTAAGTTAAATTTTATAAGAACTGATTTGGAAAACGGTTAAAAGGATATGCAATGAAATTCAACCAAGGGGAAGCGAGGAAGCCACGTAACAATGTTAATAAGTGTAATTTTCAATAAGGCTATGATTTATGTTTGTTTGTCTTATGTGTTTGTTTATAATGTTATGAAAACCAATAAAAAAAATTGGGGGGGGGAGACTACAACTCCCATCACCCCTGAGCATTCGCCATCCTGGCCTGGGGCTGATGGGAGTTGGAGGCCCGTATGACGTCGGCGCGCACGCTGCGCCAGCTTCTACAGCGGGCCGTTGCCTTTTCCCGCTTTGCCGCCTGGAGCCCAGCGCGCGAAGGGTTACGGCCGTAACGTCTCCCGGCTTCCCCTTCACTTCCGCTCAGCGCCTGCCGGCTCAGCCAATCGGGTCGCGCGTCCGCCGGAAGGGAGGCAGGCGCGTCGTCGGCGTCCTCGCGGGCAGGCAGGCAGGCTGGAGCTGGGCTGGGCTGGCGTCATGAGCGGCGGCGTTGGCGGCGGGATGTCGGCGGAGCAGCAGCTCCAACAGCGGCTCCTCCGCAGCCGCCTGAGGGGCGCTCAGCACCCGGGCCTGGCGGTGGGCGGCCCGCTGGCGCCGCCGCCGCCGCCGCTCTTGCCTCCGCTGCCGTCCGTCCTGTCCCCGCCGTCGCCGCCGGACTCGCCTCCGCCCGGCACGACCCCGGCCGAGATCCCGGCGGGCCCGCGCTGCCCCAGCGAGACGTGGTGCTCGCTGTGCCGCGTCTACTGCCCGGACCCGGTGTGCCTGCCGTGCGGCCACAACTTCTGCACGGCCTGCATCGGGCAGCGCCTGGGCGAGCCCAAGATCAACATCTCCTGCCTGGAGTGCGGAGCCACCGCCCGCAAGAGGAACCTGCGGCCCATCAAGCCGCCGCCGCTCCTGGCCAGCCTGGTGGCGGACAGGCCCAAGAGGCAGAGGCTCGACTCCGGGCCCGGAGGGGCGGTCGCGCTCCCCGCGGCGCCCGTGGTGGTAGCGCCGCCGCCGCCGCTGCCCCAGCAGCCCCAGCCGATGACAGTGGCCCCCGCAGTGTCTCCGGCGCCGGTATGCGCACCGGCACCACCACCACCGGCAGCAGCAGCAGCGCCTCCGCCGCCCCCGCCGCTGCTGTCCTTGACGCCGCCCACCCCGCCGTCTCCCGTAGCGCCAGCGGCTCCTGCAGCACCGGCGGCAGACTTGTCGACGTCGCCCCCGCTGCCCAGAAGGTTGTCGGCAGGAGGATGCGGAGAGGGCGCCGGAGGGAAGCTGTGCGAGAAGCACCGGGACGTGCTGCAGTTCTTCTGCGAGGAGGACCAGGCGCCCATCTGCGCGCACTGCGATCGGTCCCAGGAGCACCGGGCGCACGCCGTCTTCCACGTCGAGAGGGCAGCCCGGGACTACAGGGTAAGGGAGGGAAGGGGGAGAGCTCTCCGAAACCAGAAATCAGTGGCAAGCAAAGCAAGCAGCAGCAGCAGCAGCAGGGTAATCCTGGTGGCCCATTCAGCTCCCCCCAAAATCCGTTATTAGGGCAGTGCCGTGGTTAGCACAAACAAAACAGCACATGGGACGGGGTTATTGAATTCTCGTTGCAAAACGTTTATACCTCTGACTTCTTTGCATAGCAGTCAACTTTCAGATTTGAAAATAAGGGATCAGCAGCATAGCTGTCAACTTTCCGATTTGAAAATAAGGGACCAGCTGCCTCACCTGTCCCGGGGACAGTCTACGGGATATCTAACAATCCAGGATATCTGGAAGCAGTGGGAAACGTGCTGCAATAAGGGGATTTCCCACAAAAAAAGGGAAGGTTGACAGCTATGCTTCTTTGGCTGTAGGAAAACATTTTGCTGCAATAATTGAGCATTGATGTTTTTTTTGGTTGCGGTAATGAACATAAGGTTTTTAATGATTGACTGCATCCTTCATGGGTTCAGAGAGCGCTTGAGTGATGCTTAAAAATGGCCAATTTATATCCTGTATTCGCTACTTTCTTTTTTTATCTTTCCTCATCTTTTAATAGCAGGGCATTTTTGTAAAATAAAGTAACAACAGCAGTAAAATAATAGTATTCATTGTTCTCTGGCTGTTTTATACCTAACGCCAGAAGTATCTCTTACTAAGCCATGTTTGGAAATTAATTTTCCTCCTTATAAGACAGGTTTATTCTGGATAAATAATTATGCTTACATAGACCTTTAAACTTCCAACTTTCTGGTTACTTTTGTATCTTGAGTGAAAATTATGTTCAAATATTGTTGGCATGGGTCTTTTCTTGCAATAATGATCGCATAGTTGTGAGTCTATGTAGCATTCCAAGCTGTGATCTTCTCAGAAAATGCTTAGCTGTAGGATGGAGAAATAATTGGGTTAGAGGGTGTGTGGAGGGCTCTTTAGTCATCAGATTTCTAGCTTATTTTGGCATCTCTGGTTTCTACAGGACATCAAATCAGCTGGAAGAACTGTGGATCCTTAGCTTTATGTTGAAAACAGGTTTCCAAATCTAGGTGCCTAGCAACCTCTGAAAAAAAACCAATGTCAGTGCATTTATCAATAGAGGATTAGAGACCATTCAGCCTGATTCTTTTGTATTCATGAAAGTGTCAAGTTACTAGTTCCTTGTTTCTTATTCTTAAGGTCCAGTGCAGTGACAATGGCCTGTCAACTGATGGAGGTTTCTGAATAGTAACTTTCCCCTCTTTGTGTCATATTCCCTGTTTATAGAACTAGAAGCTTGGATTACTTATGAATTGGAACATTAATATCTACAAGAAGTAGAGTCAGAAAAACAAACTCTTCTAACTTATTCTTTCCTATGCATTCTTACTTGAAAATAAATTCTATTGATTCCCCCCCCCATCTTTTTTTGAGAGCTCTTCTCATATTTCCTCTTGTGCCATTTATCATATTGAGTTGAGAAAAGGTGGTGTTCTTGCCACAGTGTTGAGTTTCTTAGTTTGTGCTTCGGGGAACTCACATTAGTGAGCTTCTGATAACTCTTTTTTGCTGTCGGCTCCTTCAGGCTCAAGAATTTTAACACCACAAATTATTCAATAAGTAATAGCTTCATCTTCGTGTGCCCCTGCTCTCCAGCTGCCAAATTCCAACAGAAAATTCTGTGTCCCAGATACTGAAAAACTGCCCCACCCAATTTTAAGTGATAGCTCGGCCAGCTAAGGAGAACTTGTTGGCCTCTAAGAGCCCAAGTATATTGTTAATGTTGATTTAGGTCTCAACATGCACATCTAGGTTTTAATACCTGCAGAATCAACATATTGAGGTTATTTTAAAGAACCAAGTATTTAGCCTTGTGGTTGAAAAGATAAATATGAAAATACATGGCCATTTATAAAGTATGGGATGCCACAGAGATGCCAGGCAGGACTCCTAGCTGTAAGGAAAGGAGTAGGGCGTCAGTATTTCTCTTCCCAAGACTAGCAGAAGTGTTAACAATGCAATGCATTCAGCATGTGGATTTGATTTCTTTTTTCTTGCTATGGAGCGCACACAACCGTATGGGGCTATTGAAGAAACCCAACCTTCTTGTTCCTCAGATTGGGAAAAGGCTTCTGGGTGCAGGTTGCCTTCTCTTTCTCACGACAGAGTTACCTGAAGGCAAAAAAGCCTCTTGCCCAACTGAACTATACTAAAACAAACTCCTGTGCTCTTGATACCTCTAATTCCCTCCCTCCCATCTCAAGCCACTTCTGTTTTCTCAGGAGAGGGTTCTGGCACAACTAGAGATCCTGAAGCAGGAGAAGAACACGCTGTGGAGCCAGAAGCTGACTGGAGAGAGGAAAATTCAGGATTACATGGTAGGTACCTGTTGCCATTGGTGATCAGGAACAGAGGCATTGGGTCTTGAGGGGTGGTTGTTGTTGTTTGGCCGTATTACTCCCTGCTCCCAAATCCCATTTTTTTCTACAGGTTCATAAAAGGCAGTGCTAACTATCTTGTGTAATTAGCAAATTACGCTGTGTAAATGGGCCTAATTTGCATAGGATTTCCCCCCCCCCAACACAAACCTTTCTAGAAAACCCACATCACAAAATGTGGCCAAGCTCAGCAATAACACAATACCTTGCTTCCCATTAAAAAAAATGTGGAAATGTTGTTTCTGTTGTAAAAACCCCCAAAACTTTTTATATCTGAGTGTTTGCCTGAAGAGGCAGTCACTATTTTGTTCTTGATGTTTGTCTCTTTTAGTGGCTTGTTGTGTAATAGCTAGCTGATGGTCCTAAATAAATATTTTGATTTCATCCTGCAGAGCAAGCTATCCATGGTTGGGTCCCATACGGTGGACAAGTGGGATGTTTGTCCTGGATAACAGTCCTCAGGCGGGGTGCTGAGCATTTTCCTGTTTCTGCTGCAGCCTCCTCTTGCAGCCTTATCCTCCAACCAGGCTGGCTATTTTGCCAAGTCCAGGGACTGAAGAAGCTGGGTTGCAGATGCTATACAACAGAACATGTTTCTCAACCCCTCCAGGTCCACCTGGAGGGAGATGGAGGCCGTTCCAGGGGATGATGGGGTAGTGGTAGGGAGAAGGGAGGGAAGTGTTGCAGACGCCTGCTGGTTTTAGATAATGCCTCCTGCCCCCGCCCCCCCTTCATCCCCAGCTACTCCCTGGTCATTTTTATGTTGCCTCCCTTGTCATAGTCTATTTTGGCCTCATATCTTCTGTGTCTGCACTGTCCCTCGTGCTGGTTCGTTATACAGTCTTGTTTGGTTGCTGTCTTCTTAGGGCTGTAATGACGATCTTTTTCTTGTGCACCCGCAAAGGGCTCTCTTAACTCCCATTTTACCTGTGGTCATTACAGGAAACCGTCCAAGCAGAGAGACAGGAGATCATCTCTGAATTTGAGCGCCTCCACCAGTTTCTCAAAGATGAGGAGCAGCACCTCCTCGCCCAGCTAGAAGAGCTCGATAAAGAGATAGAGAAGCGGAAGGACGAAATGGTTACCAAACTCTCCGAAGAGCTTTCCCGTCTCGGCGACGTGATCGCCGAGATGGAGGTGAAATGTAAGCAACCGGCAGCCGAATTTTTGCAGGTGAGATTTTGCAATCAACAGAGACCTCTTTCTCTGGCCTGGAGCGGAGACTAGCAGTGGGTTAAGGGCCCCAAGCATTGGGGGGCCCCGGCACTGGAGCTCTAGAGAGCCCGCAAGTATCTGAAAACGGGAGTTGCCGCTTCCTTGCCACCGCAGGAGTTTGGGCCAGGCAGAGCTTAGACCTTCTCCCTGCTGGAACGGGCAGCAAACTGTTTTGTGTACAGGATGCTGGCGGGGCACAAGCCTCCTGGAGACAGCGGCATATGTGCTGTTATACTGGATTCGGGGTCTCTATGTGGACCCCCATCAGCTGTCCCGCATGCCCAAGTGCTGCGATTGTCCCCCCTGCGCAGGTGGCAAGGCTGTTCCTTAGGAAGCAAAGCCAGGTGGGAGGGGGAAGGAGGAGCTCCATGGTCCCAGCTTACGGAGAGCTGCGAAACGGCCATTCCGAAGGAGGGAGGGGAGCGTCCCTCTGATCTCGACTCGCCTTCTTTTAGAGCGCCCTTTGGCCTTTGCAAAGGACTGCTGGGACGCTGTAGCTCCTCCCCTTGCGGAAGGCTATGACACCAGAGCACTCTGCTGTTGGCAGATGTACTTCCAGGTCCCTCAGCCTGACCTGAAGGCTGTTGAGAAGCTGGCCTGGATGACCTCATTCCTTCAGGTTCATGTCGGGACACATCGGGTATGGCTGCCATGCAGACCTCTAGTACGTACAGTCCTGTTCCTACGGGTTCTCTCTCTTAAGGGTGTTTTGGGGACTCCGGGCACTGCTGTGGCTGTGGGACTGGAACAAACGTCACTCTGAGCTTTCAGTCTCTGGAATAATGCTGATGACTGCATGCCGCGGGGATACTGGGGGAGGGACGCCGCTTGTGTTTTGACGGCCATCGAGCGGGGTTTATTTACTTACTCGTTTGGAGGAAAACGAAAGGGGCTTGTGGAGTGTGTGTGCCTGCAAAAAAAGCCTGCATTTTCTGGGATCTCCTTAGGGTCTTCCTGTGGTCCACTCTGCGGTGAACGTCATTTGTAGCTATTCCAAGGATGTGAGGCTGGTTTGTTTTTTAAAAAAAAAACGAGCGGCAGCTCCTGCGCACTTGATCCCTTGGCACAGAATCTTTTTTTTTCTCCTTTAATTACCTTGAAACCAGCTCTCTGATCACAAGCAAGAAGGAGACGATTTTAGGTAACCTGTGGCGTGCAGAGAGTCACTACAGGTGATGGTGAAGAGTGCGGCGCAGTGATCGCGGGTTGGGGAGATTGCGGAGGCTCTGCCGGGGCCTGTGCTCCTGGGAGCGGGGCGCCGTTGCCTCTGCCGAGGTGCACCCCCTCTCCAGCGGCGACGCGGTGCGCCTGTCGGGACAGCAGGTCGTGTGGGTGGCGTGGCTGAGGGAAGGAGCCAGCGGCTCCAGGCGAAAGGCAGCCGGTGGGCAGGCCCCGGAGGGGGCGAGAAGCCAGCCTGTTCACCGGCAGGACGGGGTGGGAGGACAGTTCGGGAAGGAGAAGGCTGCTAAAAACTAGGGCAGCCCTTCTCCTCAGAGAAACAGTTGCAGCACCAGGGAGACCACCGTGCCGCGAAGGCTCCCGTGTGTAACCAGAGCACCCCCCACCTCTCCTGTCTTGGAGCTAACACCAGATGTGCCACCTCTAGGATCCCAGGTAAGAGCCTGAGGGCAACTGGGGGGGCAGGCTACTTACCCCCTGCCTTGTGAAGCAGCAGAGGCTAGAACAAAGCTTCCACCCTTCCTGCCTTTGATAGCACTCTCGGAAGTCCTCTGCAGCCTGAGATGGGGGGTGCAGAGGCATGGTCCCCTTTTAGCTTATGACTCGCTCCTAGTGCAAAGCATTGTGGGACTTAGCTCCTTTCTCTCTCTCTCTCTTTCTCTCTCTCTAGGACATTAAAAAAACAATGAGCAGGTACGTGGCGATTTATTGTGTCTCCCCATCCCCCCAAAAAACCCCTCAAAAATGCCATTTGGTAGCATTCCTAGTCCTCAAACTGGTGATAGCATGCAGGCCAAGGAAAGTAGTGCCCCTGTTGCTCCTCCAGTCTTACAAGTACCAGGGCAGTAGAGCAGTGTTCAAGGCAGCATTTAGATTCCTCTACTTCCAGGGACTCAAAACGGCCGCTCAGCCTACCCTTGGGACATTTGCAACCGGAAGCAGCTCTATTTGTCACAGGTGGGGAATCTGTGGCCCTCCACATGGTTGTGGGATTCCAGCTTCGCTCTGCCTCTGCTTGTGTGGCCAGTGGGATGATGGGAGTTGCCGCTCAACAGCATCTGGGCAGCCACAGGTTCCCTATATGATAAGTGACGGAGCAGGAACAAAGCTTGGGAAGGGGCAGGGGCGGCTTCACGCGGTAGCTTGTCACATAAAACTGCACCCCTTCAGTCCCCAGACCAGCTCATGGCATGCAGGTACCTGAAGTGGGAAATACAAATGACACACACGTATATTAAAATGGAGCACAGCCCGTCATAAAATTATCCAGCACAAGCCTGACAGATTCAGTTGGCAGCTGTGGCAGAGCTTACACAGGAGAACTCTCTGGTGTGAAGGAGGTTTGTCCCCTGCTCTGCTCCATTCACGGCACCCAAAATCTGCTGCTTGAGGCATTTGCCTCATTGCATATTTGAAACGGTCCTTTGCAAATGTCGAGACCAAAGACAAAGGTAAAAGAGAGATCTGGAATTGCACAATTTCACACTGAGAGCATTTGATTTAGTGAGATGTATTACTTAATAAACCAGGAGGACAGATGTGCCTGGCGTGCTCTGGTCCATGGGGTCACGAAGTGTCGGACACGACTAAACAACAACAACATTACTTAATAATATGTCTGCTTCGTTTCCTCGAACCAGTAAAAGTGTCACGTGGCCAGAAAAGACCAGCCTGTACATTGGATTCCAACTCCCTTCAGCCCCGGCCATCATGACCAATGGTCAGGGATGCTGGAAGCTGTAGTCCAAAACATTTGGAAGATGCCTAGTTGGGGAAGGCTTGGCCAGACCATTATGGCCTTTGAAGAGGAATGCAGGTCATGGTTGATGGGACTGTTTAAACTCGGCGTTTTCTCTTTCAAAATGCAGGTGTGCAGCAGGGCATTTCCAGCCATCCGAAGAAGCTTCTCCTAAGCTCGAAGAGAGGCTGGATGACTTCTCACGGAAAGGGAAGCTTCTGAAGGAAACTCTAAATAGATTCCAAGGTACAGGAAAAAAAGGCTGAAGAGAATGCGGAACTTCTAGCACCTGGCTCTTTGCCATCTGAAAATACAGTGGTGCCCCGCAAGACGAATGCCTCGCAAGACGAAAAACCCGCTAGACGAAAGGGTTTTCCGTTTTTCGATGCGCTTCGCAAGACGATTTTCCCTATGGGCTTGCTTCGCAAGACGGAAACGTCTTGCGAGTCTTGCGATTTTTTTCGCTCCCCCCTCCCTTTTTCTAAGCCGCTAAGAGCCTTTTAGCTGCTAAGCCGCTAAGCCTTTAATAGCCGCTAAGCCGCTAATAGCCTTTTAGCCGCTAAGCCTTTAATAGCCGCTAAGCCGCTAATAGCCTTTTAGCCGCTAAACCGCTAATAGCGCTAAGCCGCTAATAGGGTTGCTTCGCAAGACGAAAAAACCGCTAGACGAAGAGACTCGCAGAACGGATTATTTTCGTCTTGCGAGGCACCACTGTAACCTAAATTCTAATGAGTGTCTTCCGCTTTTCATTTTAAAAAATTGACTGTGCATTGAAATCCAGTTCAGATAGAAGTCCTCACATAACTTTGGGAGGGAATGTGGCTCTGGATTTTGTAGAGGCACAAGGAAAGATGGGGTTTCACCAGGAGCTGTCTAAGGGCATTTAACTGTGAACCGAAAGTCATGAATTCATTGCGTGGCTCTAAGCTGAACCACTTTTTCAGCCTTTGGACCTCATTCCCTCTGGTTGTTGCAGCTTAGCATTTAACGTGGTTTTGGTAAGGGTTGCTTACAGCAAAGACAAACCACTTTATAAATTGAGGTTCTTCTCTACAGTATTTGTACCATGATGTTGCTATGGCAAAATGGGAGCTCTGTATTCTTGCTGAGGTGTTGTGATCTCAGTCCTGGAAGGCAGTGATGGCAGAAAATGATAGGGAAAGACTGCAAGTTGTGTTTAATGGGAAGCTAACAAAAGAGACGCGGGTGGGGATGCGGGTGGCGCTGTGCGTAAAAGCCTCAGCGCCTAGGGCTTGCCGATCGAAAGGTCAGCGGTTCGAATCCCCGCGGCGGGGTGCGCTCCCGTTGCTCAGTCCCAGCGCCTGCCAACCTAGCAGTTCGAAAGCACCCCCGGGTGCAAGTAGATAAATAGGGACCGCTTACTGACGGGAAGGTAAACGGCGTTTCTGTGTGCTGCGCTGGCTTGCCAGATGCAGCTTTGTCACGCTGGCCACTTGACCCGGAAGTGTCTGCGGACAGCGCTGGCCCCCGGCCTCTTGAGTGAGATGGGCGCACAACCCCAGAGTCTGGCAAGACTGGCCCGTACGGGCAGGGGTACCTTTACCTTTAACAAAAGAGAGAAAGGGAAGGTTCAATGATGGCAGACTGTTTTGCAGAAGTAGGATGCGGGAGTCACTTAGCCGCTAAATTCCATTCCATCTCTTAAAACAGCAGTTCTCAACCTGTGGGTCCCCAGATGGTGTTAGACTACAACTCCCATCATCCCTGAGCTCTGGCCTTGCTAGCTAGGGCCGATGGGAGTTGTAGTTCAACAACATCTGGGGACCCACAGGTTGAGGAAGGCTGCCTTAAAGCAAGCTGCATCCACATTAGTAACTATAATCTGGAACGAAGTTTGAGTGCGCTGACTTTACCATGAGAAACCCAGGATGAAGTAGCCATCTAAGAAGCCTCGGGCCTCGGGCAAGTTACTTTCTGAATTGTGGGGGGCTAAGTTATTTCTTTAAGAGACATTTTGCTGGGAGGAAAAATTACCTTTTCTTTCTCTAGATAATGTGACATCTGTCGTGGAGAAAGGAGAGACTGTGAAAACACTGAACGATAAAGGTGAGTTTTCATAGTGGTGGGCCTGAACCCTGTGCTCTTTGTTTGCCCGCCAGATGTTTAGGACTTCAGCTCCCATCAGATCTAGCCGTTATAGCAATAGAGATGTAGTAAAAATGGAGAGATGTGCAGCAAGTGGGAGGCGAGGGGCACCTCTGCATTGTGGAACAAATCTTGTTTGTGGGATGGTCCCACCCCTCACTTCCTCAGACTGAAAACGGCTTGCCTTATGCTTACAACAGATGCTGCTCTCTATCCGGATGTACCAAGTGCTTTTCTACCGTTGGACCGAAGGAACGCAGGATGCGAAGAACTCCAGGAGAGGCTTCCCGCCTTAGACTACGTCCCCGACGCACCCAAACGATTGGATTCCAGAGCTTTGGTTCTGGGCTGTGACGGGTTTACCTCTGGGAGATACTTCTGGGAGCTGGAAGTGGGCGATGGGGAATTCTGGGCCGTCGGGGTCACCCGAGACCCGTCAAAGAAGAAGGGCATGATGGGCTTCAGCCCAGAGGAGGGGATCTGGGCCGTGGGGTTGTGGAAGGGCCAACACTGGGCTCTCACGTCCCCTGTGACCGCCCTGTCCTTGAGCATGCCCCCAAGGAGGATCCGAGTGTCCCTGGACTATGTGGGGGAGTGTGTGACCTTTACGGATGCGGACACCGACAGCCCCATATTCACGTTCCCACCGGCCTCTTTTAATGGGGCGCGTACCCACCCCTTGCTGTGGGTGGTGGGGTTCCCCGCTCATTCTGTGTTTCTGAGGCACATGGGAGTGAAATACCCAGCCGGGGTCCATGAGATGGATCTCCTGAGTCCATGATTTTAACCTCTTTCCATGGACCCTATGTAAGAGGGGGGGCGGGGAGATGTCTAACTGGCCAAAGCAGAGAACCAAGCTCTTTGGGAGCAAGAAAGTTTGCGTGTTTTACCTCTGTGTGATCTTTGGAGAATAGGAGGAGGTGGCAGAACTGTTCTCCTTGCACCAAGGCCTTACGATGTTGCCCTATGGAATAGCACAAGGACTGTGAATGAAGAAGACTTGTAGGCCTTGAAAAATAGTATCGCTGTTAGGACATCCTTCATTATACAAAGGATTGTCAAGACTCCTCTTCCTAGTGGTAGGTTCGAGCTTGTTCAGTTTGTGGGGGGGAACTTGCAGATATTAAAAATGGAAATTTTAACTGCATTTTCAGCTGGTTCATATTTAACACATTTTTAATTTATTTATTTTCCTTTAAAAGCAACTGCATTTTAGCTTTAATACCTAGCAGCTGATTTATGTTTCATTGAAAGGGTTTGCTCAGAATGGAACACTTCATCCAGAAAATTTTTGCTTCCTCTGTGGGTGACCCTAGCACAGACGTGATGATCCTGAATTGGGCATCCTCAGATGTGGCAGATCTGTTTGTGGATAGCTTTTAATCCATTCTCTAGGGCAGATTGATCTCTTTCCTCCCACTGGTTCATTCTGAAGCCCAATTTTACTCCTGCTTTACTCAGTTGGTACAAATCCTCCACACAACAATGCTAAACTGGGTGTTCCAATTTTCCTGAAGGTGACAAATACATAGCGTCTAAACATTGTGCAAAGAATCTTAGGACAATAGTTGAGGTGGCTACATTTATAAAAAACAACAACACACCAAACATGTAGTGTTCTTCAAAGCATTTCTCACACTCTGCTTTTGGAATATCTCTCTTTTCTGAATGGGTATTTCCCTTTGTGAACATGGCACTTACTGGACACAGCATGATTTTAGAGTGAATGGGATCCAGTGCCATCCTTTTTTTGTATATCACAGGAAAAAAGAAGCCTGTTTTAATAAAGTTGCCTTCCCAGTAACAGGAAAACGGTGTGAAAATGATCCAAAGTAGCTTGATGTGTATATGTGGCTCTTTTTTTTTTTTTTAAAAAAAGCATTTTAGCAATCCTTATTCCATCCTCCCCCCTGCTGAGCATCAGGAGAGTAGAGGGCAAAATTAGGCATTGTAAAACTACCATTCCATGTATACTGAGGTAAAAGTTCCTTGGTGGTACCTTGGTTCTCGAATGGCTTGGTTGTCGAACAAATCGGCTCCCCAACGCCGCAAACCCAGAAGCGAGTGTTCCGGTTTGTGAACATTTTTCGGAAGCCGAACATCCGACGCGGCTTCCAATTGAGTGCAGGAAGCTCCTGCAGCCAATTGGAAGCCGCGCCTTGGTTTTCGAACAGGTTTGGGAGATGAGTGGACTCCAGGAACGGATTAAGTTCGAGAACCAAGGTACCACTGTCATGACTTCTGTGACGTTTAAGAGTTGGAAAGAAATCACAGTCTGTGGGACGTCCTTTCTCCGTAGGCTTTCCCAGCCTGCTTGTTACAGCAAAGCAGTGCCCATGTTTATAAACCCATATTTCCCCTGTGGTTGAAAGGCTTAGTTTTCACAAATTACATTGCTCCTTCATACGTCTTCCTCCTCTAATGAGCAGGGATCCAACAGTAGGCGGAGTTTGGGGGGGCAGTGGAAGGGATGGGGAAGCATTAAGCTGTGTGATGCTCTCTTTGCAGTTAAAGTTGTTCCATTCCAGAAAGGTTTGTGTCGCATCTGTATGTGCTAAATAACCCAAGGAGCTAAGTTCCATTGTGAAAAATCTGCATTTACACCTCAACGTCAGGTTAGGGATGCTATTTGCTTTGCTTGCCTGCCCACCCACCCACCCTGCTGTTGGTTCTGTGGGTAACACTACAAATCTGCCTGGTCTGAGCACCCCAGGCACTACCTCCCTAGCTTTTCCTCAGCAATTCTAATGTCCGTGGAGTTCAGAAAGGCTCTGGTGTAGCCTCCCAAAATAAACCCTCCACCTCTGCCAGGCTGTAGTGCCCTCGGGCAACAGGCGACTCATCTGTAACATGACCTCCTACCTCAATGTGAGTCCATTGCTGCTGGTAAAGGTAAAGGACCCCTGGACAGTTAAGTCCAATCAAAGGCGACTGGGGTTGCGGCGCTCATCTCGCTTTCAGGCCGAGGGAGCCAGCATTTGTCCACAGACAGCTTTCCAGTTCATGTGGCCAGCAGGACTAAACTGCTTCTGGCGCAACGGGACACCGTGACGGAAACTAGAGCGCACAGAAACGCCGTTAAGCTTCCCACCACATCGGTACCTATTTATCTACTTGCACTGGCGTGCTTTTGAATTGCTGGGTTGGCAGGAGCTGGGAGAGCAACGGGACCTCGCCCCGCTGCGGGGATTCAAACCGCTGACCTTCGGATCGGCAAGCCCAAGAGACTCGGTGGTTTAGACCACAGCGCCACCCGCGTCACCTGCTGGTGCTGATACTTCCACACTGGCCCTTGATTCTGCCTTGCTGGCCAGTGTAATAGCAGTTGTTTCTTCTGAGGATATACCTGAAAGTGGAGGTGCCTTGTCACTTGTTCACTTCTCCCTCCGCTGTCCCAACCCCTTGTGCAGACTCCTGGTGCTCTGCCACTTCTAGCCCAGCTGTGGCGCCTTCTCATTGGGCCATGTGGATGGGAGAGGGTCACACAACATGGTGGGCTTCAAAGTTCAGTGCGTTGAATTGCACTTGGAAATAAACCTGTGACCAGTGGAGATGACAGCATAGGAATACAGTGGTATCTCTGGATGTGAACGGGATCCGTTCCGGAGCCCTGTTCGCATCCAGAACAGAACGCAACCCGCATGTGCGCGGGTTGCGATTTGCTGCTTCTGCGCATGTGCGTGATGTAATTTTGAGCGTCTACGCGAGCGGCGAAACCCGGAAGTAACGCGTTCTGTTACTTCCAGGTTGCCACGGTGCGCAACCCGAAAACTCTCAACCTGAAGCAACTTCAACCCGAGGTATGACACTAATACTCATTCTGCTAACCTCAGACATTGATCTGGTAGTTGTACTGGAAATCACCTGGTTCAAGGGGAGCTCCTTGTAAAACATTACTAAGGGTTGAGGGATAGCTCAGTTGGTGGGCCGTGAGGCTTTTAACCTCAGGGTTCGAGCCCCACATTGGGCAAAAGACCCCTGAATTGCAAGGGCTTGGACTAGATGATCCTCACGGTCCTTTCCAACTGTAACTCATAGGAAACCTCCTCCTTGGCAGGGGGTTGGACTCGATGGCCCTTGTGGTCTATTCCAACTCTATGATTCTATGAATGGGAGCGACTGAGTACAAGCTGCAGCTGGTGAAAGGTGCAACCAAGATGTGAATTTGCTGCTGAACAGGGAATGTGCACACAATTAACGACTGTTAACGACTGCAATTGGTCTTACAGGAAAAAGAAGTTGCTGAATTGTAACTTATTACCAAACTTAAAACCATGGAGAGACCTGGTCTGAACAGAGACATTGGATTCTTATCTCATTATACATGATAAAGCTATTTTTAGCCATCTCGCCGCTTGCTTTTTCCTGTAAGACCATTGCAGTCGTTAACAGTCGTCAACAGGTTTACCACACCTATCGGCCAATCACCCATTCCCACCACCCTTCTGAGTAACACTCCTGCCCACCCTCTCACTATATATAAGGGTCTGGTGACTTCTGTTTCAGTGTATCTGAAGAAGTGTGCATGCACACAAAAGCTCATACCAATAACTAACTATGTTGGTCTCTAAGGTGCTACTGCAAGGAATTTTTATATTTTGTTTCGACTACGGCAGACCAACATGGCTACCTACCTGAGTTTCTACAGAATGCCTTTCCCACGTGGCTATTTAGAACCAGGTTTATGATGATGATGATTTGTTAAATTTGTATACTGTCCTATACCCGCAGATCTCGGGGCTGTTCACAAGATAAAATCACAAAATAAAAACAAAATATTTGCAATTAAAAACAAAAAAACAACAACCCAATAACACCCCCTTATACACCTGAGACTATCGGGGACAGTGTCCAGATGCAAAGGAATGACTATTCTGGCACAGTGGAGCCTCCTCAGCTCTAATGTTAGAAATGAATCATTATCCCCAACCCTGCTGAGGCAAACGAAATGCCACCCGTCACGCGGGCACGGGAAGCTTCTCTTCTGTGTCCGCAGCCCAAACGAGGCCTTCTGCTGCTCCTTTTCTCTCCCCTCTTGAAACTCCAAACAGGCCTAAACAGTTTGCTTCCCGGTCCTGACTTGTTGCCAATTTAAGAAACCAGAAACTCCTGAGATGACCTCGGGCCACCAGCTGGTTTCTGGCTCGGGAAGGCCCGCCTTGTGTTTCGTGTCAAGCATTCGTTCCCTGTATGCAGTTAAAGGAGAAGAAGACGGTGGAGGAGGTGGAAGAGGCGACGGCACTCCAGCCGGCCAGGAAGGAGCCATGGCTGCCGTCTTCCTGCCGGGCAACCTTCAAGATGAAGCCACTTGCTCGGTCTGCCTGGAGTACTTCAAGGACCCCGTCTCCATCGAGTGCGGCCACAACTTCTGCCGCTCCTGCATTGCCAAGAGCTGGAAGAGCCTGGAGAGCGATTTCCCCTGCCCTCAGTGCAGGGAGGTTTTCAAGGAGAAGAGCTTCAGGCCCAACAGACAGTTGGCCAACATGTCGGAGATCATCAGCCAGTTCATCGTGCATGGCGGCAAGGGCCTGGAGGAGGACGGGCTCTGCGAGAAGCACAAGGAGGCCTTGAAGCTCTACTGCAAGGACGACCAGAAGACCATCTGCGTGGTGTGTGACCGGTCTCGGGACCATAGGCCACACACCGTGGTGCCCATAGAGGAGGCTGCCCAGGAATACAAGGTAAGAGATCTGATGCGCTGGTGTTCTGCACAGGTGTGGTGGGAGTGGCCCCTAGCTGGATAGCTCACAGGCCTTTAGAAGGACATTGTTTGCTGCTAAGAAGACAACCCCGTAAAGCTGAGAGGAAAGTTCTCTCCAGAATTTGTGGAAGGGGAGTGGAGGAGAGCGGAGGGGAAGGGATGACAGACCCTTGGATCTCAGGGTTCGACTGCGTTTGGTTTTTGCTTTTCCAGGAGGCCTAGAACAGGAGGCATTGGCACCTGTCACTCTCTGAGCCCCCTCAGGATGTTGTCATCATCACATAAGAGCCCACCCACCTGTCAGATTTGGCCCACAAGGGGTGCAGGAGTTTATGATCTGGCCCTCCAGCCAAAAAATATCCCCCCCTCCTGCCCCCATTACCATATGGCTAGATAGGACCCAGGCAGTATTCTCTCTCTCTCCCCTGACACCCCTGGAAGGGCAGGGTATAAATATTATTTAAACTGTAAAAGTTCCATGTCAGACTTTGGTTAAAAGCACAGGAGAGAAACTGATCTCAAAAGCTGAAAGCTGCAGGTTTCAAGGATGAACATAGAGAATTTGATTCCATTTGCATTTATGAGCAAACCTAATTTGCACTTTCCAAAGCAGTACGCAACTAAAACACAGCGATCTTCCCAAATTTGCATGTCTCCAAATTTTGCAGCGCAGTTCTCCAGTCACGTAATGTGTGCAGATATGCGTGTACTAGAGTAAAGTGTGCATACAAGTGCATATATCAGTGAAAATAGTATACAGGAATGCATTGTAGAAGAGAAATTGCTTTGCAGAAATGTGCATTTTATTCAAAAGTGCATACGAAGTTGTGTCGGTGGGGGAAAATTTGCACTGAAATGCTGAGTTTTTATAAGGACGTGGTTTTCGTTTGTTTACAAAAATGCACAAACTGATGTGGAATTATGGAGGGCAGGCCTTGAGAATAGAAAAGCTGAGAGAAAAATGGACAGGTGTGTCCATCCCTAGTCTGGATGTGGCGTCTTAGAATCGTCAAGCATGGCAGTGCCTGCCTAGGTATCTCTGCTCCCTAGTTAGCCCCATTGAGCTCAATGGGACTGATTCCCAGGTAAGGGTGCATAGATTGCAGCTTGAATTTCCCATGAGAGGGCAGGCATAAGTTGCACCTGTGCAGCTTGTCCTTGTCAGCCAGGAAAAGGTTAAGCAAGTAACCAAATTCCCGATCTATTTCTGGGAGGGAGAGTTCCCAAAGTGGGAATAAGGTCACAGGCTGACACTGTTTCTCTGGAGAGCGGGAGCCCAGCTTGCTCTTCGGCTGTGCAGTGCCAATAGCTACTTAAAATAGAATTTACAGCTGGTGAAGGAGGGGTGGCTGTAGGCTTAGAAAGGCTGGTCCATTGGCCCTGGAAGATTTGGGGGCAAGTTGTTCTGTGCTTGAGCTACGGGTCCTCCACCAACTTCCCTTTACACAAGTGGTCTTTGCACTGGGGACCACATAACACCGGTCCTGAGAGATCTGCATTGGCTCCTAGTACGTTTCCGAGCACAATTCAAAGTGTTGGTGCTGACCCTTAAAGCCCTAAATGGCCTCGGTCCAGTATACCTGAAGGAGCGTCTCCACCCCCATCGTTCAGCCCGGATGCTGAGGTCCAGCGCTGAGGGCCTTCTGGCGGTTCCCTCATTGCGAGAAGTGAGGTTACAGGGAACCAGGCAGAGGGCCTTCTCGGTAGTGGTGCCCACCCTGTGGAACACCCTCCCTTCAGATGTGAAGGAAATAAGCAGCTATCCTATCTTCAAAAGACACCTGAAGGCGGCCCTGTTCAGGGAGGTTTTTAATATTTAATGCTGTATTGTTGTTATCACTTGATTGGGAGCTGCCCAGAGTGGCTGGGGAGACTCAGCCAGATGGGTGGGGTATAAATATTATTATTATTATTATTATTTGTGGGAATCTGCAGCTGGGTTTTTTAATACAGCTGCCGTGAAGGGCTCCCAATTTACATAGGCACCCAGGGCTGTTGGAAAGCAGTTTCAGCGAAGGGCAGTGATTCAAACCAGGGCTATGGTCTGACTGCACATAACATAGCAATCTTGTTGAAGCTACGTTGTTCTGTCGTGGGAAGTTACAGAGGAACCCCAGGGTTAATGTGATCTGGTGCTTAGAGCAGGCATGTTCTACAACTCCCACCAGCCCAAGACAGCATGGCCAGTGGTCATGGAGGATGGGAGTTGTAGTCCAATGACACCAGGTTCCCCATCCCTAGGTTAAAGCCAGGTGTTGGGATAGGGCTTGTGAGTTGTGGATTCGAATCCCCGCTCGGCCACGGGGTTTACTGGGTGACCTTGGGACAGCCCCCGTTCAGTCTTACCTACCTTACATGGTTGTTGTGAGTTTAAAACAAACATGAGAGAAACCCTGGTGGGTCATTCTGTTCTGCATTCTGTTTGACCAGAATTTTCCCTCTGCTTATGGGAAGCCCACATGCAGGAACTGACGGCAGCAGCACTCCATCTGTTGCTGGCAAATTACTGCTGCAACCTGAAGGGTGTGTGTGTGTTTTTGTGTCAAACCACATGCCAATATGAGCTTCTTGGAAGAAAGCGAGACCTAAATGAAACAAACTAAAGCTATGCCCCTTTTAGTTTTGTTTGAAGGAAGGTTGGACGTAAATGTAATAAACAAAGAATAGATCAGTGAATTGTTTTTAATTGAATTTATTTCCTATCTTTCCTCCTCAAGGGTGGCAAAAAGATACACATTAAAAAAACCACAACACTTATTGACAGCTGCACGAATTATTATAGCTAGGAAGTGGAAGGGGCAAGCAGAAAATAAAATGGAAGAATTGTATAAAGAGCTGTGGGGTACAGCTGTTAACGATAAATTAACATGTGCCATTAAGGTAAGATGGGGAATATTCAGGAGAAACAAGTCTGAGGAGATATGGAAAGTGTTTGTAGAATTTGTACTGTTAAAACGGAAAGGGGTCAAACCATCACAAGAGGTGTTGAAATTTTGGGAGGTTGGGTAGTTACATTGGAATGGTCTCGGTGTGGGGTGCACATTTTTATTCCTATTTATGTATGATTATTACTTTGTCAAAATAAAATTTAAAATAAGACAAAAGAAAAGGAAAACAAAGGAAACCATTCCAAAACAGATTAAAACATTCCAAAAACAATTTAAATTAAAAAAACCCCAACAAGCAGTCACAGTAAAAAACTATTCTGTCCAATAACCTTGGGGTTGCCAGGAACAGTATTTAATAATAATAATAATAATAATAATAATAATAATAATAATAATAATAATAATAATTTATTTATACCCCACCCATCTGGCTGGGTCCCCCCAGCCACTCTGGGCGGCTTCCAACAAAACACTAAAATACAATAACCTATTAAACATTAAAAGCTTCCCTAAACAGGGCTGCCTTTAGATGTCTTCTAAAAGTTTGGTAGTTATTTTTCTCTTTGACATCTGGTGGGAGGGCGTTCCACAGGGCGGGCGCCTCTACCGAGAAGGCCCTCTGCCTGGTTCCCTGTAACTTGGCTTCTCGCAGCGAGGGAACCTCCAGAAGGCCCTCAGCACTGGACCTCAGCGTCCAGGCAGAATGATGGAGGTGGAGATGCTCCTTCAGGTATACTGGGCCACCAGATGCCTGGGAAAACGGGAATGTTTTCAAATTCCTCCTGAAAGTTAACAAAGGAGACAGGCACAGCTCACTAGGGGAGGGCATTCCACAGCCACCACTGAAAAATGGTGTGGAAGCAGGAATAACACAGCCGGTCCCAACGCCACTGTGCCATTGCTCTGATCATTTTTGGAGTCCTCTGGCTAACTGCATTAATGTAAAGAAGAAACAAACATTGGGCAATCAAGTCACCGATCTCCTGGGCAATGTATATTTAGGCCTTCAGGTTAATTTAGCTAGAAGAGCTACCGCTCCATGCATGAATCACTGGTTAGTTCCAGGTATCACTTGCTAATAGGAATGTTGGGAGCTTGTCCACATGGGCCATCACTTAGCATGGGCAATGCAGACATACCAAGGCTAAGCCTCCTGGCCCAGCTCTGAATGGGAGCCAAGCTGGGAGGTACTAAGGAACAGGGATCTGTCAGGACGTGCAGATAGCAGTGCAAATTGACATTTAGGGCTCCTCTAAACGACCTGTTTATTGAGGCTTACATAGAGGTTAGACTAGGTCTGATCTTTACTGAGCATTCGTTCTGATTTATTTTCAGGAAAGGTGGTTCCAACGATGACAATTCATCTTGATTTGCTTGTGCAGGTGTACATGTACAGGTTCATCCCACATTTTTTTCAATGCAATTTCCCCATCACTTTCCTAACTGCAAAAAGTCTGTTTGTTTGTTTTTTAAGTAGGTTAGTTGCACAAGGCTGGCAGACCGCTTTAACTGTGCAAACCTACATTTCCTGCAAAATGCAGTCAGTCTGGAGGCAACCTTAAAACATGGCTGCACATTAGTCATCATCTCTCCATGCCAGAGCACATTGAGAAGATGGCCCTCCTTTTAATACTCCTTGATGTCTATTGTAGGTCAGTGAATTAAAACGGTAAGCAGGACTTCATCCAAGCCAGGGATCACTAGGTTTGAACCTCATAACCTTTGTTCAGTATCCATCAGCATTAAGCATGTGAAATAACACAGAGCCAACTGTGGACTGCATCTCCCTTGTCAATCATCATTGTGACAGTGGCCTACGTGAGAATTGTTTCCCGTTCCTCCAAGTCTGAGACTGCAGCTTTGAGCCAGATCTGAGTCCAGAAGCATCTAATTTTAGAAATTAAACATGGAAGGTGTAATAAATCCTTGCCATGTGGGTATTAGTGCTGCCAGGTGGAACAGCAAGGCAAAAGCATCGCCTTTCTCTGCTTTCAGCTTCTGAGTGGAGGCAGGATTGCTGGCTTGAAACACCTGGCAACCCTGATGGGCACTGCCAGTTGCAACTCCACACACACACACACACACACACACACACACACACACACACACACAGAGTTATGTACCATTATGTGTAGTGCTGTATAAAGGAAACCATGACGATTGTAACTAACGCCTTATCTCGGTGGGGAGGGGTGTTATGTACTGAAGTTCTCACCCTGGGCCAGCAGGGGGATACTGTAGATCACGGGTGTCAAACACAAGGTCCGCGGGCCGAATCCGGCCCGCCAGACCTCGTCATGTGGCCCATGTAGCTGCTGCCGGCCGCCAGCCTTCACAATTATTCTCGCTTTTTTTTTTTTTGGACACAAGAAAGCCGCCTCTTCAGCGCATGCACGGCAGCCTACAAGCCAGAGAACGTCTGCCCTCTAGCAGCACCAGCCGTTCTACACAGGAAACCTCCACTTTACATGCATTCATGTAAAGTCCTACAGATACAACCGGCCCTTTGAGGGTGACCAAACTGCTGATGCGGTCCCCGATAAATTTGAGTTTGACACCCCTGCTGTAGATAGTTTTTACTCAGGTCCACATATGCAAATAAGGGATTGAAAGTGACGTTCAGTGATTGGATAGTTACAGAAAGTGGTTACAGTTACGTTGTACTGGAGCTCTATATAAGTAGGCTGGCTGAACCCTTCAGTTCAGTTCTGTTCCAGCTTACAAATAAAGAGCTGTTTGAAGAACCGCTGTGTCATCTGATATGTTCACCCACAATTTCACACACACACACAGAGTGCCAGAATTACGTATAAGCTAAACAAGCTATAGCTTAGGGCCCCACTCTCTTGGGGGCCCCCAAAAGAATTTAAAGGGGAAAAAACCCACTGGATGTACATTTCCAAAATATAAGATAAAAAACAAATAAAATAAAACCTACTGACCTACTTAGGATGTAAGTCACGGGCCCCGCCTGCTAGCCTGCTCCCTAAAATATCACTGGTTTGCTCATTTCTGTATAAGGTGCCTACATTCTGCATAGACTGGTGAAATGGCAACATGTGCAAATGGCTTTAGATACCTATTAGGTCCATCAGTTACCAGATAGCATATATTCAACACAAAAAACAGTGACAATTTGTTGTTGACAAAGGACACCTGGCCATATAAAGGGCCCCATTACCTTCAGTAGCTTAGGGCCTCATCAAACCTAAATCTGGCCCTGTGTGCGCGTGTGTGTGCACGCACACACACACTTGTTGTTTAGTCATTTAGTCGTGTCCGACTCGTCATGACCCCCTGGACCAGAGCACGCCAGGCACTCCTGTCTTCCACTGCCTCCTGCAGTTTGGTCAAACTCATGCTGGTAGCTTTGAGAACACTGTCCAACTATCTCGTCCTCTGTCGTCCCCTTCTCCTTGTGCCCTCCATCTTTCCCAACATCAGGGTCTTTTCCAAGGAGTCTTCTCTTCTCATAAGGTGGCCAAAGTATTGGAGCCTTGGCCAAAGTATTGGAGTGCACACACACACCTACTCAAATCCCTGCAAATATACAAGTTGCTGTCAGGAATGACGTGGTCCTGGGGGTCCAGTGAATTCTGCATCACCTGACGTTCCTTTTGCCAATAGGATTTCCCACTTTTATCAGACTGGAGAGATCCTGGTTCAATTCCTCACTCACCATGGAGCCCAAATGGGTGCCTATCACAATCTCTCGGCCTACTCTATTTCACAGGGCTGTTTTATAAGGATAAGGTGGGTGGAATTATTGCAGAGCAGCTTGAGCCTCCTGGAAGAAAGCTGGGATAAAAATGCAGTAAATAAACAGAATGCCGTAGTTGCTTGAGAAGCAGCAATTCCGGAGGTTAAGCCTTCTGCATAACTGTCCCTCCAAGATTTCTGTGCCTGGATTCCCACTTAATGCAACTCCTTCTCATTCGTAGCATTCGACCCTGCCTTAAAGTGAGACAGACCATTGTCCATTATTGAAGGACCAGCCACATCTGCTATTGGGTCCCCGGAGCACAGATTCACACAAAGCGGCAAAACGTCCTTGCAGGTTATTAACAGGATTTTATTTGAAGTGCATATATGCAGAACAAAGGTACAGGGCGATAAGCAACCTGCACACCCAGTCAGGGTGCGCCCCCTTTTTATAGATTTGCAGAATACAATACCACCTGATTTCTTGTAAACCGAAATTTATAGTAAGTTCCTATTACCATGTAAGGTCTTGGCCTCCCTCCCTCTTTCCTGCAATCTCCCTCCTCCTGGGGTTACAATAAAATCCATTCAACCTTGTTCTTTATCTCTACCCGCCCAACCAGACATTCCAGCGAGAGGCCCATTTGCACTGTAACATTTAAGCAACAGAAAAAACCCTGTCCTGCTGTCTGGTGTAGAAACCTCCCCCCTTTGGGATAATATAGAACAATATTGTAATATGCCCCTTCATTATGGCCATATATATAGCCAGAGTCTTTCTCAGAAAGCAGGTCTTTCCCATCTCTACCAGCTGGATGTTAAACTTGTAATATTCTGCATTCAAAACGCATGCCATTTTTATATGGATGGTGAACTGCAGCCTGATGCAGCAAAAATATGCGATGGGACCAACTGACTACCTTTAACTTTATCTCTCAGTTATCAGTATAAAACTTGTTTTGTGGCTCCAGGTATGGATTGCACTTTCTCCTGCAGAACAGATCCCAAAGTACACGAAAAATGCAGGAACTTTAATATATATATATATATATCAATCAATTTTATGTTTTTGGATCTTAGGAACAAATTCAGGCCCGTTTGGATTTCTTGAAGAAAGAGAGACAGGAGCTTCTGGAATTCAAAACACAGGACGACAAGAAAAGCCAAGACCTTTTGGTGGGTATCAGTTGTTACTTACAAGCTGGCAAATGGATACAGCATTGACTCAGATGAGGGTGTATAATTTAACAGAGCTGAAAAGGGTTGAATGGGTGGGGGCTGCCCTTTTAAAGCCCTAAACGGCCTCGGTCCTGTATACCTGAAGGAGCGTCTCCACCCCCATCGTTCAGCCCGGACACTGAGATCCAGTGCCGAGGGCCTTCTGGCGGTTCCCTCATTGCGAGAAGTGAGGCTACAGGGAACCAGACAGAGGGCCTTCTCTGTAGTGGCGCCCGCCCTGTGGAACGCCCTCCCATCAGATGTCAAAGAGATGAATAATTACCTGATATTCAGAAGACATCTTAAGGCAGCCCTGTTTAGGGAAGTTTTTAATATGTAACGCTGTACTGTTTTTAACACTGATTGGGAGCCGCCCAGAGTGGCTGGGGAAACTCAGCCAGATGGGCGGGGTGTTATGTAGTGTAGTTTCACCCTGGGCCAACAGGGGGATACTGTATATAGTTTTCACTCAGGTCTGTAGATAGTTTTCACTCAGGTCCGCGGCAGTTATTTTAGGCGGGAACTCTGGGCTGTTGTGGTTACAATGTTGACAGCCGGCTGCCTATAAATACAGGCCGGCTGAGCTGTTCGCAGTCAGTTCTATTCCAGCTTACCATAATAAAGAGCTACTTGAAGAAATCGCTGTGCCGGCTGGTATGTCAACCCACGACTTAACACTGGCGACGAGGATGGGATGGATGGACATCAGAGCACAGCCAGATGCGGCCAGCCTCTGAACTGAGCTGAATCACTGAGCTGAATCACAGAGCGAAATCACTGAGCGAAATCACTGGGCAGAACCAATTCAGAGCTGACTGTTCTGGCTAGAGCACTGTGTTCCATCCATCGCCCTTCACGCCGGCATCGGAATCATGGCTTCACTTGTGCCTCTACCGCCGTTTGCGCCAGCCTCTGAATCATGGGACTCCTACCTCGCTCGGTTCGACTGCTACCTCCAAGCCAACGAGCTGACAGCAGTATCAAAGGATCGGAAGCGGGGCCTATTCCTCAGCCTCTGTGGGCCTGAGGTGTTTGAGACGGCCCGAGCGTTGGTTGCGCCTGAAGCAGTCCAGGCAACACCATGGGACACGATCCAAGAGAAGCTCCGCAACCACTACGCACCAAAGCCGTCCAAGATTGCTGCCCGCCATGCGTTCTACCACCGGAACCAGGCAGAGGGGGAGTCAATCAACAACTACACCACCGCCCTGCGACAGGCTGCAATGCACTGTGAGTTCCGAGACTTAGACGATGCCCTGATGGATCGAATCGTCTGCGGGGTCCGGGACATCCATCTGCAACGGCGCCTCCTAGCCAAGCCAGACCTCACGCTACAGAAAGCCATTGAGGAAGCTGTGGCCTCAGAAGCTGCTGAACGCTCCGCCCAGGAGATCCGCAAGTCCAGCAGCCCGCGTCTTGCTAGGGAACCAGTTCCGGTGCATCATGAAGAGGCCAGCAGTGAGGAGGCATCCTCCAGTGAAGACGATGACGTGCACCAGACAAAGCGGGAGCGCAGGAAGTTCCAACAGAGGTCCAAGGGCCAACCGGAATGTGCTGGCTGCGGAGGCAACCATTCCCGTGCCAAGTGTCGATTCAGAGACGCCATCTGTAGGAAGTGTTCCAGAAGGGGCCACATCGCTAAGGTCTGCCGATCGGCTCCGTCTGACACCCCCCCTTCATCGACTCGCAAGTCCAAGTCTTCACTCCAGTCTGCCAAGGAAAGTTGTTTCGCTCTCACCAACTGCCGCTGCCCGTCTGGAACCACGATTGGCCAAACCGACTCGCCTACGCGACGCAAGCTGAACGTCACGGTGCTCATTGAAGGAGCTCCATGTGACATGGAGATCGACACCGGGTCTGCCCTGTCCATCGTGTCATGGAGCACTATCAAAAGACTGGTACCCAGAGTGTCCAAAAGGCAACTCGACTCTCACCGCGTACACCTGAGAGACTACCAGGGAAACGACATTCCCGTGGTAGGCGTTGGCCGGTTCCGGATCGCTTTCAAGGATTTTTCGGGCCTGCTCCGGTTGGTGGTGGTCGAAGGTCAGCGGCCAAGCCTCCTAGGGCTAGACTGGTTTGATGCCCTCGGCCTGGAAGTCACCGGCATCAACTGCATCTCTAACGCAGAGACTGAGGGTCTGGTCAAAGACTTTGCCGAGGTTTTTGACGGCACCTTGGGCCAATATACAGGTACGCCCATCTCCTTTAGCCTTGATCCACAAGTCGCCCCCATCAAGCTAAAGCCACGCCGGGTTCCCTTTGCTCTCAAGGCTAAGGTGGACGAACAACTGGACAAACTGATCGCCCAAGGAGTTTTGGAGCCGGTTGACCACGCAAAGTGGGAAACCCCCATCGTCACGCCTGTCAAGCCAGATGGGTCGGTGAGAATCTGCGCTGACTACAAGTGCACGATCAACAAGGCACTTCAGCAGCACGCTTATCCGGTTCCTGTTGTCCAACACCTGCTGCATTCCCTGGGTGAGGGTAAGGTCTTCGCTAAGCTGGACCTTGCCCAAGCCTATCAACAACTGCCAGTCGATGATGCCACTGCTGAAGCCCAGACGATCGTCACCCACCGGGGGGCATTCCGTTGCCGCCGGTTGCAGTTCGGGGTGAGTGTGGCTCCTGGCATCTTCCAAAGCCTTATGGAGCGTCTCCTGCAAGGGCTTCCGGGCGTGGTACCATATTTTGATGACGTCTTGGTGTCTGCAGACTCACACCAGCAGCTGTTCGAGCGCCTCCGTGCCGTGCTGACCAGGTTCCAGGAGGCCGGGCTCAAGGTAAAGAGGGAGAAGTGCCAGATCGCCGTTCCACAGGTAGAGTTTCTGGGCTATCTTATCGATGCCTCCGGTCTTCATCCAACCACATCCAAGATCCGCGCTATCCAGCAGGCCCCCACCCCAAAGAACAAAACGGAGTTGCAGGCATTCCTGGGGCTGCTGAACTTTTATAACATGTTCCTGCCCCACAAAGCCACAGTGGCTGAGCCTCTTCACCGACTCCTTAGCACTAAGACGCCTTGGGCCTGGGGTCATCGGGAGACGGCGGCCTTCAACGCGGTCAAGGCTCTCCTTTCTTCAGACAGTGTGCTGGTACAGTACAGTGAATCCAGGCCGCTGGTCCTTGCCTGCGACGCCTCACCTTTTGGCATCGGTGCTGTCCTTAGTCACCGTTTTCCAGATGGAAGAGAAGCACCGCTCGCCTACTTTTCCAGGACACTATCTCCGACGGAACGGAATTACAGCCAGCTCGACAAGGAGGCATTGGCACTTGTGGCTGGAGTGAAGAGGTTCCATGAATACCTCTATGGCAGGACTTTTGACCTCATCACTGACCACAAGCCACTCCTGGGCCTCCTCGCCGGTGATCGTCCAACTCCACCAGTCCTCTCACCACGCATGCTGCGATGGACTGTTTTCCTGGCTGCCTACCACTACCGGCTCATCCATCGCCCGGGGAAATCGATGGGCCATGCCGACGCCCTCAGCCGTTGCCCGCTTCCAGCATTTGTGGAAGACCCGGCTCCAGCTTCATCGCTCCTTCTGATTGAGGATCTTCCGGCAGCGCCTGTATCGGCTGCCACTGTGGCCTCCGCATCTGCCCAGGATCGCACCATCAGCCGGGTGCTCAACTGGGTGTGGAGGGGGTGGCCACAAGGGCCTTTTGCATCGGAGTTCCAGCCCTTCGCAACCAGACAACATGAACTCTCAGCTCATCGTGGCTGCCTGCTGTGGGGAGACCGCGTCGTGATTCCCCAGGGACTCCGTCAGCGCGTCCTGGAGGCTCTGCACGTTGGCCACCCGGGAATTGTCAAAATGAAGGCGTTGGCTCGGTGTTACGTCTGGTGGCCTAATATGGACGATGCCATCACTGCCTGGGTGTCCGCCTGTCAAGCGTGCCAGGAGTCGAGGCCTGCACCACCGGCAGCTAAGGGACACACCTGGGAGACGCCAAAGACACCCTGGTCGAGGGTGCACATCGATCTGGCTGGCCCCTTTCACGGCCGGACCTTTATGGTAGTGGTGGACGCCTATTCCAAATGGCTGGAGGTCGCCCTGATGCCCTCCACCACTACCGAAGCTGTCATCCGGGTGCTGCGAGGCCTGTTTGCAACGCATGGGTGTCCTGATGTCCTTGTCTCTGACAACAGACCGCAGTTCACGTCAGGCACGTTTGAGCGGTATCTTTTGGGACTGGGCATCCGCCATGCCCTAACGGCACCCTTTCATCCATCCAGCAACGGGCAAGCGGAAAGAATGGTGCGCTCGACAAAAGAGGCACTGGCGCGCCTGGACCGGGGAGACTGGCAGGAGCGGGTCGCCGAATACTTGTTCGTGCAACACATCACCCCTCATGCGGCCACAGGGAGGAGTCCTGCTGAACTGCTTATGGGCCGCCGCCTCAGGTCACCGCTCGACCGGCTACACCCAGACTTTGCCGTGGCTGAACCCCCAGGCTGTGCCAACGCACCACGGTCATTTGTCCCAGGAAACCAGGTCTTTGCCCGGAACTATGTGGGGGACATACCTTGGGTGCCAGCCACAGTAGTGGGAGTCACTGGACCTCGCTCGTACCAGGTGGCACTCGAAGACGGACGCTTGTGGCGACGGCACATAGACCAGCTTAGGCGCAGGGTTGGGGACTTGGACACTACTGAGGTGCCCCCAACTGCGCTTGCGGCTCCAGAAGAGACACGTACAGATGGCGAGGCCCCACCTACACCTCCCTCGCAAACTGCCAGCGTGGAGCCGAACCAAGCCGTTTCAGAACAGACTCAGACCACTCCACTTGCGGAGGCTCCACCCACAGCAGCGGATCCAGGGGAGTTGGTTCCAACGCCACCTAGGGTCGCACCACAGCCTCAGCGAGAACTGTGTGGCCCTCCGGACTTGGCTACCAGTCCCCGGCGGTCTGGCAGAGTTTCCAAGCGCCCAACTTATTTAAAGGACTATGTT